ACAACATATACATGGTAAACTGAGTTTCAAAAGAAATTGTGTTCGTTGATTGATCAGCCTTGGAATAAAACTTTGTCTTTCTATACTGTCATATAAAAAAAAAATTATTTCTTTTTATTTGAACTCAGGCGCATCATTGTTGTTCTATTTCTGCTTTGTTCTTGATATACTTTCTCAAGATCAATGTTCCTGTCGTCTATTTTTAATTAATAAATAAACTCAGTTTCTTGAATCAGTTTAAGTAAATCCATTAAAGTTTTAGGCATCTCAAAGTTTCACAATCAGTTTAATGCTTGAGTTTTGTTGGTTTTATGCTTAAGTTTGTTTAAAACTTCTACAAATACTAACACTACTACTCGGTAGATTAAGAAAATCTTCTCCATCCCAAAACAATATGTAATAATTGAATGTCAATCCTCTGTTATGAGCTAACAAATAGTTATACGCTTATGAATCTTTATATTGTTTGCATTTTACATATTGACAAGTGTCGGGCAAAACTCAAGAAATTTTTTCTCCTTTTTCTAATATCATTTCAGCAATATCACTATATGCATCCAATCCATTGTCGAGCATCAAACACATTTGAATGGTTATACTGTATATGTAAAGAATTATTTATGCCATGAAGGTCAATTGCTTCACCATCGAGCTTCTTATATAGGCTTAAACAACAGCGATGGTTTATAATTAATTACGAGTCACAGATGGGATTATAATTACGCATTAGCGATCCTTTAACAATGTTATTTTGATTGCTAGTGATTGTTACATGTTACTCATACACCTATAAACAGTTTCACACCTAACACGAGTTCCAACAAACTTATAATGTAAGGTTAGTGATGAAGTATATCTGTATATGTTGACGAATGTACTGATAATTAAAATTCTTGGGTGTTGATTGATTTTTGTAGGAAAAAAACAATCGAATTTTAAAGTGTTAGTTTTGGGCCGAGTATTTTTTCTGAATGGACTAAAAGAAAAACCCGACCCGATTCTTACTTGTTAACCTAACCAGTGGTGTTGTCTTCTTATAAAATGCTTCCATAAACCCTAATTTTACACACAGCCGCGAATACCATCAACACTTCAATCGTTTTTCAACAGATTTCTGATCTATCGTTTATCGATTAGATGTTTCTACGAAACATGATTGGATTGTAGAGGAATTTTGTTCATTTATGGGTTTTGAGCTTCCTTCTCTCTTTTTTTTTTTTCTGGAAAAAGTTTGAATCTTTTTGTTTTGTTGCGGTAGTATGAGCACCGAATAGCCCCTTGCATCTTTAAGTTTATAGATGGGAGGAACAAAATCGAGAAAAGGGTACTCAATTGGTGCAAGATATTGGCACTTATGCTTCTTTTGTTTCTCTTTAGGGCTGTTCAATAGCTGAACTTCCCAGAAAATGCGTATTGGCCAATAGAAACTTCGGATATTGGTATTATGGTTTTTTAATTGTGTTGGAAGGAAGCAGAGCATGATGATGAGAAAATTTTGTGCTCCTGAAATCAAATTCATGTGGATATAATATATATACCTTCAAAGTTCTCTGAATTGCTCTGCTTTCTCTTTTGAATCCGTTTTCTCTGTTTTTTTTTTTTTTTTTTTGCTATGGTTTTGGAAATGTGATAATGAACACATTGGATTTTTCTTTTCTCATCTATTGAATTCTTAAGCTTAGAAGCAGATTCGTATTTTGTAAATGAACTGAGCTTTGCACCTAAGAAAATCATAGTCTGTTTGACTGATTTAATGTTTCAGACTACACGAGCATGGTGCTATACGAAATTTCTTCCATGAGTTTTTGCTCATTCCATATTATTCAATTCTACTTTGAGATATGGCTAAACTTGTGGAGAACATTTTGTTTTGTATGTGGATTCTATATTTTGGTTCTGTTTCAAAAATTCTTGTTTTCTATATTTTGTTTGTGTGTTGATTCTATATCTTGGTTCTGTTTCAAAAGTCCGTGTTTTCTGTACATTTGAGACATTTGAAATACCCAAAATGAGTCATTTGAGACACATAAGTAATGGCCAAACCAAAATTGTTGTAAATTCAAAGCATAAAGACGCATTTAAGAGGCATGAACAAGAGAACTGGCAATAGAAGAAAAACATGTTGATACTCCATTCTCTCTGATTATGTTACAACAAATCTTGTATATTTAATGTAATAAGATTTGAGTCGTTGAGATAACAAAAAATCACACATCTCTGAACATAAGAAATTGCTTTGTCAGCCTCAACATACGAAATTAATCAAACCGGGACAAGGTTTAAAAAAAAGATCATAGGAAGACAATTTTTGACAGTGGTTATTTTTTTCGGTACCCTCTGAGTATTGGCTCGGCCCAGGACAATTAGACACGTAAAACTCGGCCCAACGTTAAATGTATACGAAGAGATATGAGATCATTTTCCCACCTTATATCTTTTACTCTCACAGAAGCTGATAGTTTTTTTTTTGTTTGTAGCCAGCCTTGCTCCTTTTAACGGCAATGGCTTCCTCACTCTCTGCTTTGCCTCTCGCTTTTCGCAGAAACTCTTCTTCTTCTCACTTTTCGTCTTCCAATTTCGTTCTGAGAGCAAGAGCCGCTGCAAAAGAGGTTCACTTTAACCGTGATGGCTCTGTCACCAAGAAGCTTCAGGTTTTCTTTCCTTTTTGCGTATTTTCTCATCATCCTTTACAGGATTTCTCGGCAGTTTGGGTTTTATTATGGGAAAAATGGTGGTGAAGTTTGGTGCAGGCAGGTGCAGATATGGTGGCAAAGCTATTGGGAGTGACTTTGGGTCCAAAGGGACGAAACGTGGTGTTGCAGAACAAGTACGGACCTCCTAGGATCGTCAATGACGGTGAAACTGTTCTCAAAGAGGTTTCGCACTTTTCTAATTTCCTGTGTGGTTCTTTTGAAGATTGAATACTCTTTGTATGGAGACATTTGTTGGAATGCTAAAACCATAATCAGTGTTTTCTTTGCTTCACCATTACTGTGGTATTGAAGTTAATTGTTTGTATCGTCTGGTGTAGATTGAATTGGAGGACCCGTTAGAGAATGTTGGAGTGAAACTTGTGAGGCAAGCGGGTGCTAAGACTAATGACCTTGCCGGTGATGGTTCAACTACATCTATAGTGCTTGCTCATGGCCTTATTACTGAAGGTATTAAGGTATACAGATTTCCCAATTTTGACCAATTGGATAATGCATCACCATTTGCGCTTCTTCTTGTGAATGATCTCAAAGCCCTTCTTCTTTTCAGGTGGTTTCTGCTGGAACAAATCCCATTCAAGTTGCTCGTGGTATTGAAAAAACCGCAAAAGCTCTTGTTTTAGAGCTTAAGTCAATGTCCAGAGAGGTGAAACATCCATGCCTTTAACCCTTGAGAGTACTCATTAGAATGGAGTTGGTTAGTGAGCTAGCTTTAATAGAGCATTCTGTGAAACCTCTTCATATTTGCAGATTGAGGATCATGAGCTTGCTGATGTTGCAGCAGTTAGTGCGGGGAATGACTACGAAGTAGGAAACATGATTGCTGATGCTCTTCAACAAGTAGGAAGGGTTGGTGTAGTAACAATAGAGAAAGGAAAATACCTGGTGAACAATCTTCAGATTGTGGAAGGAATGCAGTTTAATCGTGGTTATTTGTCCCCTTACTTTGTCACTGATCGAAGGAAGAGGGAAGTTGAATTCCATGATTGCAAGGTCTGAAGCAAGACTTCTCCAGTTTTCCCTCGTTTGCTTGGAAGAGCAATGACTAAGAGTATACTCCGTTGTTTTGTTGTAGCTGCTCTTGGTGGACAAGAAAATAACAGACCCGAAAGAGATGTTCAAGATATTGGATTCTGCCGTTAAAGAGGACTATCCAGTTCTTATAGTTGCCGAGGAGATCGAGCAAGACGCTCTTGCTCCTGTAATTAGGAACAAACTGAAAGGTAACCTCAAGGCAGCAGCCATCAAAGCTCCCGCCTTTGGTGAGCGCAAGAGCCATTGCTTGGATGATCTTGCAATCTTAACTGGAGGTAGTCAGGCTCCATCTTCACACGCAAGGGCATAGCATATGTTTCTTCCCCCATTGCTTTTTCTGTTCTTACTTGTTAGTCTGAATCACTGGCGTATTCTCTCTATGCGTAGCTACCGTGATCAGAGATGAGATGGGCCTGAGCTTAGAGAAGGCTGGCAAAGAGGTCTTAGGAACAGCAAAAAGGATTCTTGTAACCAAGGATTCAACACTGATTGTTACTAATGGGAACACCCAGAAAGCAGTTGAGGAACGGGTTTCTCAGATTAAAAAACTTGTTCAGGTCCTTTCATTGTCCATGTCTTGTCATTTCATTAACCAAGAGACATTCTTTGTCAGGAACATATACAGTCACCATGTTTGATGCTCATATTTTTCAGTTGATCATAATGTGTAATTCAGAACACCGAGGAAAGGTTTCAGAAGAAGATCCTCAATGAAAGAATAGCCAGATTATCCGGTGGAATTGCAATTATCCAGGTGACTTTGCAAAGCAACGATACCAACAAAAGAAAAGAAAAATGTGATGTTGAACTAACTTCAAAAAGGCTTTAGGTAGGTGCACAGACGCAAGTTGAGTTGAAGGATAAACAGCTAAAGGTTGAAGATGCCCTGAATGCAACCAAGGTAACTCCAGTTAAAAACATGCGATTCCTGTGGTTGAGAAATTGCCAGTCCAAGAAAGCTGATCTCTCAAAATTTAGTCAGCAATTGAAGAAGGGATCGTAGTTGGTGGTGGTTGTGCCCTCTTAAGACTGGCTTCAAAAGTGGACAGCATCAAAGACACCCTTGACAACACAGAACAGAAGGTACTTGCTTGTTTTGAGGCTATGGAAATGGAACATCACAATCGAGCTATTTACACTTGTTGAACATCCCAAAAGATGTGATCTGCTTTTCTTGCAACACTTTAAATGCAGATGGGAGCTGAAATATTCAGAAAAGCATTAAGCTACCCTATAAGACTTATAGCCAAAAACGCAGGCACAAATGGGAACATCGTCATAGAAAAGGTACTGATAATGTCAGCTGGAACCAGCCCTAACTCCCAATAACTAATTCTGAAATCTGCAGGTCTTATTGAACGAAAACATGATGTACGGTTACAATGCTGCAAAGAATCGATACGAAGATCTGATGTTGGCTGGTATTATCGATCCAACTAAGGTAACAACAGTGCAATGTAATTTCACCTGTATTTAGCTCTCTCTCTGATGTCTGTCTCAGCATCTGAGTTGAACGTTGTCTGAGAACTGAAACGCAGGTTGTGAGATGTTGCTTGGAACACGCTGCATCAGTGGCTAAAACGTTTCTGACATCAGATGCTGTTGTAGTTGAGATCAAAGAAATCAAACCAAGACCCATCATCAATCCACCAATGCCTACTTCTCCAGTTACCTCCTCCATGTTCCCTGACACGAAACTGCCAAGATTTCCTCAAATTATGCCCAGAACTCGAAGACACTTTCCAAGGAAGTAGGAAGCAGTCGTTGAAAAGCTGTCTACTTTAGACAATACATAACGACCAGATAACATGAGAAAGTCAAATTTAATGTAATCTGGACACTTTACTAAATGTGTATGTATCTATATATATCTGTATACACGAGGATTTCTGAAATTGCGCTAAATGTCATAAGCTCTGGTCATCTCGTAAACGTGTCAAAGCTAGGCTTCTTCTTCTTCGAATCATTTGCAATTATATCCCCAAACACGAAATCATATCGTAGCTGAGAAATCTTCAAGAGGATGATGGGAATAAGCGTGCAGACGGCGTTGGATCTAATCGTCGCCGGAATCTCTCTAATGATCGGGTTAGGGTTCTTCGCTCTCATCGCTTCCATCCTCTGCTCCGTCGCCTTCTTCCACCATGCCAAAGCTACTTCTTGAACATCAAATCAAGTTAAGCGAAATCTCCCTAAAGCAATCCTCAAATCGGGGTAAAACAATTGTATCAAAGAATTTAACTTTTTTGAGTTTTCTGCATATTCAGTACAGAGATTTGAAGATTGACGAAGAACAAGAACCAGGCATCTCATCAGCAAATCGACAATTAGCTCAGCTTATACAACAAGTGTAGTTACATGAGACATTGTAACATAATCTGTGAACTTAAGAAAGAAAGATCATAATTTGAATTTACGGGAAGAACAAAAAAACTAGCTTTCATTTCTTGTTTCTCTGTTTGCGTACAAAAACCATTCCTCGGATCCCATCCGGGTCAGAGACGAACCCGAGCGGGCGGTAAAACCCGAGAACTCGGGGCTCCGAATACAGAGCAATGTTACAGATCCCTTTCCTCTGCAAATCCTCGATAAGCCGCTCCATCACCGCCTTCCCGAGCCCTAAGCTCTGGAACGACGGATCAACCACCACGTCCCATATGATCGCGTTGAAAACGCCGTCTCCCGTCGCTCTAGCGAACGCCACCGGCCGCCGCGTTTTCTCGCACTCCACCCACAGCATCGCGTCTGTGTGCTGCAGCGCCACCTCGATCTTCGCCGTGTCCCGCCGTGGGAACCCGACGGCTACGAAGACCGAATTCAGCTGGTCTAGGTTCAGTCCCTCCGGCGTCCGGCGGAGAAGAAAGCCTCTCGATTGGAGATCCTCGTCGGTGATTGAGTAGCTAGGAGGCTGTCGTGGAAACGCCGCTTGCGATGACGGTGCGACTGCGTTTTGTGGATTTAAGTTGGACCTTAGCCGGAGAGAAGCCGGAGGAGTGGTGATTGTGCCTCCGAGAAGCATGGTATTAACTGTTTCTTGTCAAATTTTCGAATTTTTGCTCGATTTCATGAAACCAGACAACAAACAACAAAAAAAGTTGAAAGGAATGATTTTTTTTTTCTTTCTCATGAATTGGGATAAACTGTGTGTGGCTGTGGATAACTGAGAACCTCTCTAGCTTTTACTTTTTTTTTCTTGTTTCGAGTAAATAAAAATAAAATCGGATTCAAATCAGAGTACGAATAAACTCGTGGTTGTCAGAGACCATTGTCGTTTGGTAGTTGAGAGAGTCAAAGAGATACTTTTTTTGGCGGGCGATTTAGTTAGTGTCATTGTAACTACTTTTTTTCTTCAGCTCTGCAACTTGTAGCCAACAGGTGATGTTTATGTTTCTGCTCTTCCCTCTTGGTTACGTGAGCAGTGTCCATGAAAGACCTGTGCAAACCACGTCCTCTGTATTTTGGAACCCATTAGTGTACATCCCAGAAAAAATTACCCACACAGCAGAAACCATCAACAGAACTATGAATAGTTAGCTTCACGAGAGATTCTATAGGCTGAAGGTGGTATCATAATGATTGGGAGAAACAAAATGGTTCAAAGTTTACCATTTTCTTGTCCTTCCGGGTCTCATGATGCTTTGGTGATTCTCAAAACTTTTTTTCACTTTCAAGTGGTTAGAATTTATTCATGTAACAAGAAGATCTGTAACTGAGAGAGTCTTAGGACTGAAATTGTTTTCGCTGTCCTCAAATTTTGGTTGTTTTGAATCATCCTAAATATGTAATTGGGGGAGTTGGGCATGCTTTTAGTTCGATGTGCTGGCTAAACTTCAGACAGCTTCTCTTATGATCCTGGAAACCCCAATATCGTTAGTTATTGACACGGTTTCATGAAGACATGACTTTTTTGACTGAAAAATCTTAAACTTCGTTTTGTTTTCTAATAGTACTGTTAGGCCTAGGTACTGTTTCGCAAGGCAATAATGATTGGTGGTTGTTCGTTGTGCCTAGATACTGTTGTGTTCTCTAAGGTTGCCAAATGCTTTTACCAATCGTTATTGATGTCATTGTCCACTAGGAGTGGAACGTGCACATGCTATTGCTGACCCAAATGCTTGGTTCTTTGCCTTCACTCGTTGGATTAGTATGGTCCTTCAATCTTCCTGAAGGTGAAATTGGTAGACCAAGTTCAGTGTTTTATGCTTTTACCAAGCAACATTCTCATGTATCTCACGTTTTGTGGGTCATATAATTAGGTTGGGACGGCCCATATTTCATTTTCATCTATCTGTTTATTGCTCCTACGTGCATTATGTTGGATTTGGAGATTATACAAAGTCGAAAGCGACCTGAGAATAACATCAACGTGAGGGTCTTCCTCTTCTGGAAAGTTGCCAGCTAAAGTCTCTTTGTTCTTTTCTGGTCCCTTTAATTCTGCCTCATTAAGCTTAATACTTTGCAGTAATATAGAGGTCAATTGATATGTTAATTTTCTTTTTCGTTTTCCAGGATCAGATCACATCTTGCTAGATTAAGGGCTGATACTTTCTCTATCTTTTGGTTATGTGTCAGTTCTCTCACTATAATTTTCCAGCATCATTTCCAGCATCTAGAGCTACAATAAATGCAATTATTATTGTTCTCTTAATAGATAAGTATTCCATGTTTGTTTAACTTTCTCTGATGGATATTACTTGTATTTACTGTTACAAATGGCTTTACTGTGTTGACAACGTGGGAAAGAAATCAGAACAGGTCCGATTCTGATCTTTTCTAATAACTCCTTTCCTGATATGCAAATAGTTTCTTAAGAAGTGGTTATAAAGAGTTTATAGTAGTAGATAATGACAGATTTTGAATGATTGCAATTTGTTGTTTTGTAAAAGAATCATGTGAAGCTCTTGAAAATAGCAGGAGTTTTTGTTAGTAAGCAAAGCTCTGCTGTTAGCTACTTGGGCCACACATCATAGAAACAATATTGGCAACCTTAGAAACTCCTGTTTTGTCATCAACCGCTTTGTCTTCTACCATGAGCGTTTTATTTTCTCGGAAAAGATGATTAGTATATTGCGTAAATAATATGTGATTTTCAATGCTATAACTTGGTTCTTAATTGGTAACTGTTGAGAATTAATCAGGAAATGTTGGTTTTTTTCCCCAGAATCACCCTCTTGATGGCTCCTGAGTTGAACATACAGATCAAGATATGCTCTGTTTTGTGTTAGAAGGAAGCATGTGAAGAACAAGGAACATATTATATAACAGGGTTCCAACGGGGAACCGTTTATTTTGGCCAGCATCTACCAAAAAAAAAAAAAAAAACATATTCCGGCAAAAGAAAACAATGCAACTACAAACACATGGCTTATTCAAGGCAAAAAAAAAAAAAAAAAAAACAGGATTGGTGAGAAACCTGAAACATCTCTCTTCATTACAGGATTTGGATTCTTTCTTGAACCCCTATATCTTCTTCTCTTATACAGCATGAGTACTATTTGGTTTTGTTCACCTTGCCTTTACTCTGGACACGACTAGCTGCACTTGTCCTTGTTCTAGCTTTGAGCTCTGATTTTTCTCCTTCGTTGCTTAATGTTTTCTGTATGTGTTGCCGTTTTTGAAGGTATACTTGTTTAGAACCATTCTTCCTAGCTGCATGCTTGTTGATGTTCCTTGGAAGTTGATTGCTTGGTCCCGAAGATGCATCAGAAGCCATCGAATCATCACTCTCCTCATCACCACCGTCATCACTACTATCACCACCATCAGCCTCCTTTACCTGTGAATCATCATCGATGTCACCATCATCATCCTCATCAACAACAACGGAAGAATGGTCATTTCCATGGAAGGCGTCTTCTATGTACATAGTCCACCCTGACTCACAACTGCTGTATTCCTCCTCCTCAGAGCCTCCATGGTTCCTAGGAGACTCCATGGCTATGAGCAAGACAAAGAAGAAAACAAAAGTTAACGTTTCAGGTTTAGCATATATGCAAAAGGATATACAAACTTTTTTTTTTTCGTTGCGTACCGTAATTGTTTCAATCCACTTCACCAATTTACTCTCTGATACAGGCTCTGTGTCTCTGTCTCTCTTTGGCTTTGCTCTTCTTCCATCATCAATAAATATATGTTTTTTTTTCCTCAAGTATCAGGAAAAGCCGGAGCCTATAAGAAGCCTCATATAATTGAAGAGCAGGAGTAAGTTTCCACATGGCAACCCTAGCACCATTGTTTTCACTCAATTGAAGCACTAGCAGACAAAGCCATTTGCAGATATATATCAAGGAAGGAAGGTTAGTGCCCTCTTCATTATAAAGTACACTCTCATATAGAATTAAAAGCCTATGCTCTTCTTTTTCTATTAGTTAACTAAATAGATATAGTCATCTAAACTTTTCCTTAAACAAAAATAGACTAGTTTCTAAAAAACCGTAAGCTAATCAATACCCACAAAACAAGAATCATCCTTCTGAGGTCTTTCATTAGTGATTTGAAAGCAAAACTCATAAGCTTAATTTGTCCTTTCTGTGCTCTTCTTAATTGATAATAGTCATATGATATGGATCAGTTTTTAACTCCTCTGTACTCCCCATCTCTCTCTCTTCTCTCTTATGTGTCACAGGCTATCTTAAATATAAAAGATCAGCTTTTGAGGTGGAAATCAGAAGAGACCCACCTCAACAAACAAGATGGAATAAAAGAGGCATTTACTTAATTAGGTTAAGAGCTGTTCCTCTTCCTCATTCCTTTAATACTCTTCTTCCTCCTCCAATCCTCTCACTCTCTTTAAAATTGTTGCAGCCTTTTCTTCATCTCTCATTGTATTGAAAGGTGAAACCCAACTGGATTTTTGTTTGTCATTTTTTTTTTCCTGTAAAGATAAGGACAAAACAAAAAGAAGTATAACAACTGTCACACACAAAAAAGAAGGCAGAATTTCCTTGGAATTAATAGAATAAAACGTATAATGTTTGAGTATAAATGGTCTTCATTGCGTTTCCTGTTTCTCTGGCGTCACCTTAAAAATGTTCTTCAATGGAGGCCCTCTTGGTGACAGCTAGCAAATTCAAGTTTGTATAAGAGTCCATATTACAAAAGGGTTGTTTTGTTTGACTTTTGACTCATCATTTGAGTACGTAATGTAAACAAATATATTTAGCTTTGTGTTTTAAGACATTATGATTTCTTAAAGTGAAAAAACAATTCGGAAAGGGTTGGTACTAAAGTGAGTCTCCTGAATATTGGAGAGATGTGTGTGTTAAGATTTATTAGAGTTTGTACAAATCTTTACTGGCTGAGAAAAATGGAGTCAATTGGATTTTCTCATGTGGGTGTCTTTTTCTATCAATTGCCCTACGTGTGTGTGAGACTGTGGAATGTCATTGTACGTTACTATTATTGTCACCGATTCATTTCTTTGTAGGTTCATATTTGACAAGTCACAGATCTGAAAGCATCATCAGACACGCTGGCTTTTGCTTAATTGATAACTTTGTATGGCAAGTTGGTGAGAAAAAGCTTGAGTTACCTCCTTTTTTTTGTATATACATTTGATACTAACTAGTGCATGTTGGACTAATTCAGATAAAAGGTTAATTTTGTTGTTGGTAAATTTTAATCACTAGGACAACAAAATTGAATTAGATAAATACGTTTGATAGATTGGTTGAACCAAATCATGTCGCTTGTTGTTCTCTACAAGGCTTAAAGAAAGTGGTGTGTCCTTTGGCACCTAAGTCTTTTGTTTACGTCCAATGCATGCCCCTCTCTGTTTATTATACTTATATTGGTATGTTAGAGGTTTATTAATTGGCCCTTCGGCTTCTTCTATATGTAACTTCATAAAAAAAAGACTTCATAATTAACAAAACTCGGCGGGTTTAACGTTAAAAAAAACAATTAAAAAGAGATTTGATAGGAGAAAAGAGAAGTTGTCGGCTCCTCCTGACGAAATCATATTTGTAAATTTGTTAATAATAATCAATTAATCACAATCCGACATTCTTTGTTTACGTATTTGTACTCACTTACAGCTGTACCCATTTTCACCAACCAACTCAATCTTTATTTTCTTCTTCTTTTAAAAAAATTAAATTAAATGATTACTACTTGCTTCCAAATTACAATATCCAAGAAACAAAACAATTTTATTTCCCCAACTCTATTAAAACTTTAGAGGGAGTGAATAATTTAGTCATTGGAGACTTCGGTGGCCAAATATCAATGTATCAAGAATTGCAACAAAGAAGTCAATATAAAAAGACTTTTTATAATTGAGAATTGAAGCGCGCTGAGTTAGACCGATGTCGGTCCAACGGTTTAAACGGTTGGACGGTTCGTGATAGTTCGAACAGGTTTGAACCCGGTCTACTCATTTTCTTTGTGATGTACTTGGAGAATCACGTAATAAATAGCCTTTCTTATATTTATTTTCTCTTGCAAAAGTAAAGTCAAGTGGATACTCACCATTTTTTCCCCATTTTAGGGGCTTGACGAAGATGAAGAAGTGATAGAGAAAATAATGTTACAGAATAAAGTCAAGTGGATTCTCTCTTTTTCTGCAGGATCTCAACTAGATGGATCTAGATCTCTTGAATTGGAATGGGATCAAAAGTCTTACCCAGCCTCTTCTGATTTATGGGTCCTCATCATCTTTGCTCCCTTCTTCCTTTTTCTTCGCTTAATTCTCGACAGAACAATAATATCCGACGTAAGTAAACCAGTCGTTCTTGTTTTTTTTTCTTTTTCTATCTATTAGTGTTCATTATGACTTGGAAAGCAAGTAATATCTCATGAGAAACCAATCTGAGAGATTATTTACATTTACATCATAGAGATTCGCTAGAAGCTTAGAAGGGTGATAGTCCCTAGTGAACACTGTGCTGATTGAAACGAGAGAAGAAAGAGGATAGTGAAATTCAAAGAATTAGCTTGGAATTTCAATTCAAAAAAAAAAAAAAAAGAATTAGCTTGGAAATGTCTGTTCTCTCTCTCTCTAGAAGCACTTGCTATCCACGTAACTTATAAAGAGCTTTGGTTTAAATAAACAAGATGCTTCTGGTTATGACCAGGATACCGGATATGGCCTGACCAACAGATGAAGTAAGAATAACCTTAACTTAATACTTACGACTTATGACTTTCGTGAGAATCAAGAAACTGTCAAGTATGCCTCAAGCACTAATTTCTTCTGAGTATAATACTGGCATTTTCGCAGGTTGAAAATGAAGGGAATGTATATCTTTGTCGGCGGGTTGAATGTGTGTTCTTTTTTTGTTTTGTTCTTTTTGGGAAACAAGACGGTCTAATTTCCGAGTCATGTTAGTTCATCACATTGTAACTTCATTACTCATCTTGTCTTACGTTTTCAGGTAACTCCTACTAACTAAAAGATATCAAAGACCAACATTATAACTCCAACAAACTCTTATAACTTAATTTAACTTCTTATAGTTATCCTATTTTACTAGATTTTCGTGTATAGGCTCTGTGATATTGGCTAATCATGAATATATAGGTTCTGTAGTATAGGTTAAAGACCACTATATTGTTTAAAGTTGATTGCTTGTTCGCATCACTTAGTGATCAATTCTAGATTAACCACAAGAACTATTATTCGAAAACAAGCATAAAGCTACAATCAAGATAACTGAAGCTAACTAAACCAAACAAATTTGTAATCAAGGATTTATTCTCTTCATTTCTTGTCTTAACATTGGTGTAGACATCTCAATATGTTGCGTTTATATTTATAGGATTCTTCTATATTTGAGCATTTTTCCCGATTTTCATGAAAATGATATATTTTGCAATTTAAAAGACAAAAGCAAAAAAATTCTGGGCCTTCTACTACTCTATCTCTCTCACCCTGGGTGATGCATATGTCCGTGCAAATATACGAAAATATTAGCCATGAGGTTAGGAAAAGTAGTAATTAAGTCCATCCTACATGCAAAGCTAACTTGATGGTTTTTGGGGTCCCGAACTCCCACATCCATAGAGACTCATCATCCCAAGATGTGAAAAAACTTTGAGTCTAGTGTACAAATGAAATACTGCACCCAAATGCTGATCATATTGTTGTGTAATCTGTCTCGCATTAAGATCTCATTGTATTATCGTCTCACCACTCATACCAGCGAGTAATATGTGCTGCTTCTTGTCATTCGGATTAACCTTAATGACATCTAGAATATTCCCAATAGCAAAAGCCTGATATTTGTGACCATGCGCTTACCAAACTTTTTGAAATGTTATCATTGTGTGAGTACTACGTCCGCTTCTCAATTGTAAACTGAAACAATGTCGAAGATCTGATCTCTTCACTCAGTCACAAAACACACAAAACAAAGAACATGAAAAATAATGGTACAAGATTTGAACATAAATTTTGCTTATTCATTCAACTTTACTAAACTATATAAAACAATAAATATGTGAAAAGATCCCCAAAAATTTTATAAACTCAAATGCCCAAAACACATGCTAACTGAATTTTGACTTTTGACTTTTGACTTATCTCTTGAGTTATGTAAACAAAGATATATTAGCTTTGGGCTTTCAGGTACATTATGATTTCATTAAGTGAAAAAAACAACTCTGAAAGGGGTGGTACTAAAGTGGGTCTCATGAATATTGGAGAGATATGTGTGTTAGGATTTACTGTACAAATCGTTAATGGCTGAGAAAAATGGAGTTGGACTCATTGGATTTTCTCATGTAGGTCTCTTTCTATCAATTCCCTACATGTGTGTGTGACTGTGTAATGTCATTGTACGTCACTATTATTGTCACCGATTCATTTATTTGTAGGTTTAAATTTGATAAGTCACAGATTTTGGAAAGCATCATCAGACACTGGCTTGGCCTATTTGATAACTTTGGTTGGCAAGTTGGCCTATATAGAACTTGTGTTACCTCATTTTTATTATTATTTTGGACTAATTGTGAAGGTTTATGGTGTTATTTCTCGAGATCAATTAATAACAAGTGAATAAGATACGAGGTTTTTTTTGGTTGTCGGTAAATTCTAATCACTAGGACAACAAAATTAAATTAGATGAATAGATTGGTTGAACCAAATCATGTCTCTTGTTATTTTCTACAAGGCTTAAAGAAAGTGGTGTGTCCTTTAGCACCTAAGTCTTTTGTTTACGTCCAATGCATGCCCCTCTCTGTTTATTATACTTATTGGTATGTTCGAGGTTTTATACTTTTATTAATTGACCCTTCTATTAGTTCTATATGTGACTTCATAATTAAATAAAAAGACTTCGTAATTAACCAAACTCGGCGGTTTTAATGTAAGAAAAAAAACAACTAAAAAGAGATTTGATAGGAGAAAAGAGAAGTTGTCGGCTCCCTCCTGACGAAATCATATTTGTAAATTTGTTAATAAAAATCAATTAATCACAATCCGACATTCTTTGTTTACGTATTCGTACTCTCTCTCACAGCCTTACCCATTTTCACCAACCAACTCAATCTTTATTTTCTTCTTCTTTAAAAATTTAAATTACATTATTTTTACTTGCTTCCAAACTCCAATATCCAAGAAAGAATATAATTTTTTTAACCAACTTTATTTAAACCCAGTTCACAAAAAACTCTATTAAAACCAAATTTATAGGGAATAATTAGTCACTGGGACAAATACGCTCTCGGAGACATCGGTGGCCAAATCTTTAATTACATAAAGAAGTCAATATAGAAAGACTTTTTTATAACTGAGAATTGAAGCGCGCTGAGTTAAACCGATGTCAGTACAACGGTTAATTCGGTTCGTGATGGTTCGAACAAGCTTGACCCCGGTTTACTCTTATTCTTTGTGATGTCTGACTTGGAGAATCACGTAATACCCTTTCTTAAATTCATTTTCTCTTGCAAAAGTAAAGTCTAGTGGATATTCTCCTCTCATTTTTTCCCCGTTTTAGGGAGTTGACGAAGACGAAGAAGTGATAAACAGAATAGTGTTACAGATTAAATTCAAGTGGATTCTCTCTTATTTGCAGGATCTCTACTAGATGGATCTGAATCTCTTGAATTGGGATTGGGATCAAGAATCTTACCCTGCTTCTTCTGATTTATGGGTCGTCATCTTCTTTGCTCCCTTCTTCCTTTTTCTTCGTTTAATTCTCGATAGAGCCATATTCGAGGTAAGTAAACCAGTGGTTCTTGTTCGTTTTATCTCTCTTTGTATTCAGTATGACTTGGGAAGCAATTAATGTCTCATGAGAAAACAATCTTAGAGATTATTTACATTTACATCGTAGAGATTCGCTAGAAGAGTGATACTCCCTAGAGGAGACTGTGCTGTTTCAAACGAGAGAAGAAAGAGGATAGTGAAATTCAAAGAATCAGCTTGGAAATGTATGTGCTCTCTCTCCCTAGAAGCACTTGCTATCCACGTCACTTACAAAGAGCCTTGGTTTAAAGACACAAGATGCTTCTGGTTAGGACCAGGAGACCAGATATGGCCTGACCAAACAATAAAGTAACAATACCCTTACACTTTGATACTTATGAGTTACGTGGAACGCAAGAAACTGTCAAGTATGCCGCAAAGCCCTAATTTCGTCTAACTATATTACCCGCATTTTCGCAGGTTGAAAATGAAGGGGATGTATATCTTTGTCGGCGGGTTGAATTTGTATTCATTTTTTGCTTTGTTCTTTTGGGAAACAAGACGATCTGATTTCAAAGTCATGTTAGTTCATCACATTGTAACTTCATTCCTCATCATCTTGTCTTACGTTTTCAGGTAACTCCTACTAACTAAAGGATATCAAAGACCAACATTTTCCGACTCCAACAGACTCTTATAGCTTACTTTAACTTCCTCTTTAACCTACTTTACTAGATTTGCGCGTATAGGTTCTGTAATAGTGGCTCTTCATGAAATCAGCGACGTGTTTCTAGAGATAGGCAAGATGTGCAAATACAGCGGCATCGAATCCATGACTAGCGTCTCCTTCGTCCTATTTTTCTTGTCGTGGACCGCTCTGCGACTCATCTATTATCCTTTTTGGATCCTGTGGAGCACCAGGTGCGTACTCTTAACCCCTAAAATCTATAACTACATAAATTATAAATATAATGCAATGTAATTGAATCTTTCTGTTTTTTTGTCTATCTCTACGTATATACGGACCTATATATATATATATATGCAGCTACGAATCAATAAAAGTAAAATTGGAGTGGGACAAGAAGCATTTGATGGAAACTGGACTGCCTCCTATAGTGTACTATGTCTTCAACACACTTCTCTATTGCTTACAGATCCTACACATCTACTGGTGGGTCTTGATATGTCGTGTGCTTATAAGCCAAATCCGTGCCAAAGGAAAAATCGCTAGAGACGTCCGTTCTGGTTAGATTTTTTTTGTTTTATATAAAAAAACGAGTGCTTAATCTTGCGATATATTCTTTGTATTACACAGTTTTTTCTTAGCCATTTTTTTCAATTTTTCTTTGTAGATTCTGAGAGTGAAGGTGAAGCTGATGATGAACACCAAGATTGATTGTCTTGTCCAATATCGAATTCTAGCATTAGTTATGTCGACGTATTATATATACGTTTCACCCGATAAAAACCATTGTCTTGCTAATACTGTGACCAAATATTTTATAGTTCCAGTGAGTTTTGGCTTTTGAAAATGCATGACAATAGAGAATTAAGGAGAAAAGTGCCCAATAACACTATGAAAAATAACAATGTTTTGGAACCGCTCTGCATCCGTCTTGGTGACAGTATAATTATAACCTTGCTTTGTTGTTGGTTTTGTTGAGGTGTCTAAGGGTAATCTTAAGATTATGATAATATAAACGATAGTTTAGGTGAAGTAATGTTTATTTTTTCTTTGTTTTTTCTAATGATGAAGTAATGTATGCAAGGTTTATTTTGACCTTTTTCTCGTCGGCGAGAATAATTTTGTAAAGTAACTATTATAGTTTTCTATAGTTACCGATTGTTGGAAAAGAAAAAAAAAAAGAATATAAACATGATATCATATTAACTATATTCAACCTAAACAATGAATATAAATTTCGACTAAAGGTCCCATGAAGGCATGAACGGCTTTGCCGTATCTAGTTATTTCTTTAATCAGGGAAATGCCGAAAGTGTAGTAGTATGATGCATTTATGCTCTTTAATCATATGCTTCAGTTTTATCTATCTAGTTTGGTTTTATCGCATATTAGTCCTCAAAAAACAAATTGAACATTAATGATGATTAATTATATATGTACAAATAAAAACGGGTTTCCACTTATAAATCAGAGCAAGGGGCCCACACAAAAAAACAAGTGAACCTACTCGTGATAGATTGACTGTGAGGGTCGTGAAGAAGGCATGTGAATGTTAAGTGTACGAATTACGAAGTCAGAGAACAAAAGTGCACACAGACACAACATGTGGATCCTCGTCACTTTGTCATCAATTCACTCATAAGTCATAAGCCTCCTACTCCCTACTTATTGTTTTTTGTTCTCTTTTTTTTCGGCCTATATATTGTCTTCTAATTATTGAGCTGTATAAAGTATTTCACCGTTTAGTTACAGATACTGGGCCAATAACCAAAATTAGATTGATTATATTCGATTCTTCTCCAGATTTATAGATACAAAATATCATCAAAATATGTTGTAACAAAACACGTCGGTTTTACTTCATGAACAATATATTATAAACAACAATATATTTCTTAATCGTATCGCATATAATTTTAAACGGGCATACTAGCAAAACTGAATATTATGCGTTATCACTTATACAAATGTTTGAAAATTTCTGATTCTGTTCAATTAACTTAGATGTTTATATGTAGTTATCGTTTTTATATAGGGAATACAACAAAATGTTACCAATATTGGTTTTTAGGATACGTAGATTTTTTTTTTTTTGACAACAATTGAGAAAAACTTAGCAGTTCAAAAAGCAGTCCTCCTCGGAAGAGAGCCAATCAGGAACCGCTGAGCCGCTGTGAGAGAACCAAACTCCGCTCGATCTTGCTTTCTTTGCGAGCCAATCTGCCTTAGCATTCAAATTTCTTGGAATCTTGATGAGACGAAAAGAGACAAGAGAAGACCGGAATGCCCTAAAGTCCTCAAGTTCCGACGCAAATGTAGGCCAATCCTCAGGAGATTCACACATAGCAATAAGGTCCGCACAATCAGTCATGAAAGCACTACAGCGGAGGTCTTCCATGATAATACATTTCATCGCCCAGATGAGAGAGTCAAGTTCGGCGTGTAGGGGAGAGAGGGAGCGACTGGATCCCCTTAACCCAAGACGGAGGATCTGATCCCCCTGCGAGACAATCCATCCCTGACCGCTAACTGGGGCAGACGCGGTCCATGAGCCATCAAAGAAGCAGATTAGTTCCATGGAGGCGGGAAAGTCTAAATCGTGTCGATGATCCAAGGCAGGCTCATGGATGCCATCCGAGTTAGCCTTGCGCCAATCCTCCTCTTCATGTTTGGCATGGGCGAGAATTTTCGGAGGGAGTTCCGTCACATTGTCGAAAAGCTTTCGATTCCGTGCTTTCCAAATGAACCACATGATCCATGGGAAAATGGACAAGGACTCCTCACTGGCGCCCAATTCACTCGCTCGCCAAAAGAGGAAATCCATGTTTTGGAACAGAGATGACTGAGGGAAAACGTTTGGTGCCGATGGAATCGAAGAGAGAGCCCAAACCTGTCTAGAAGGAGGGCATTCAAAGATGAGATGGTTTATAGTTTCTTCCGCAGCTCCACATCTGGGACATGACTTATCACGGCTTATATGCCGATAATGTAGGCGTTGAAATGTAGCCAGACATCCCGAAATACATTGCCATACGAAATGCTTGAGCTTTCGAGTGGTTTTGAGAGTCCATGCTTGTGCCCTAAGTACTGAAGTACTCGGTCCCTGAAGAGGGGGGCCACACGCACGACGAGATAAGGCTCTCGCGGACCAATATCCTGATTTGACAGAATAGTTCCCAGACTTGGTTAGAGACCAACTATAGCCATCTCTAGAGACAACTTGACTTGGACGGATGCCAAGTATGAGAGAAATATCCTCGGGATGGAAGAGTTCGCGGAGTCGATTCACTTTCCACTGTTTGGATCCAAAGTCAATCAAGGAGTTTACATAAAGATAAGGGTCTCTCTCTGCTTGAATACCCCGAGGAGGACGAGCTGGAGTATCTGGGATCCAAGGTTCGAACCACACAAGTGTACCAAAACCAGAACCTATGGTTTTCCGAATACCCGAGGCTAAGAGGGGCTGAGCTGCCATAATACTCCTCCAACCGTAGGAGGGACGGTTCGAGACTGTTATTTCTAGTGGAGTGCAAAACTTGAAATATCGTCCTTTGAGGACCCGGCTAAGCAGGGAGTCCGGAAATCTAAGCAGGCGCCAAAGTTGCTTAGCTAGTAATGCTAGGTTAAACTCTTCAAAAGTTCGGAACCTTTAGGATACGTAGATTAAAAAGAAGAAAAGATATATACACACACTGATACTTGATTTCAATACCGATTATGTCTATTTTTTTTGTCAACAGATGTAGATAAATTCAATATAAATCAGTAAATCTATTAATTTTTATCTTATTTCTTGACTCTTACTAATTTGAGAGGATCCTAGGCCGTATGAGCCGATATGAGTAATAAATGTTTGAAGAAGTACTAGTTCAAACTTCAAACAAATAAAAAATGTTGGAAGAAGTATCAATTATTGTGGTAGTGAAATGCGTGAGCAAACTGACTAGTATTGACTATTGACCACCCCCAAAATAATGAAGGAGATTCCATAGAAAAGAGGTTTCTATTTTGAGCAAATGAGAGAATAGGCACAAAATCTTATAACGAGTACAAAACTACAAAATGTTGTAAGAAAAAAGTAACTAGCAATTATTATATTGTCATTTGGTCCTTCCGCTGATCCGCTCCCAAACTGAACCAGAATCCGCTCCCAAACTGAACCAGAAAAACTCGTCTCAAAATTTACCCTTAAGACTATTTTTTTTCTTCCTTTTTTGGTATGATACTCTTAAATCTTAATACTATTGTTTTCTAAATTTTTTAATCTATAAATTATATTTTTATATTTGATATTTAATCCGAAATATCTTTGTATATCATATAAATATGATCCTCGTTTTGTATTTATATTTTTCTAAATAAAAACTCATTTTAAGTTTTAACTCGTAAAGTCATGCTAAATTTATGGAGTACTTTTTTATAGCTGCAATTAAAATGGGGAATTATCTAGAAGAAAACAACGGAAAATATACCAGCTAAAAAGAACTATATAAGATTAAAAAATCACAAAAAGTAAACGGTTGTATTCAATTAAATACATGAGTTTGTAAGAATATTGAAAATATAAATAAACAAACGTAAAAACGCAACAACAAAAACACATTTAACCTCATTCTGTTTCTAAATATATACAATTTATATTTCTTCAAGTGTATATTTTTTTAACAAGTGATAGGTGTGTGTGTATATTTAAAGTTTATCTAAAAAGAACAAAAAGGTAGAACGGAAAAAAAAGGAGAAAATAAAAAAAGAGGCAATCAAAAGGTATTAAATAGGCTTCTCTCATACATTCACTCTTGGGTGTTACCTCGTGGGTCGAGATCTTTTCTCCAGATTCTCTAGAAATCGCTCGCCCCGAAAAAGAAGCTCTCAGAAAATATCCGAATCCTTCCTAATTCCCCCATTTCTCGTCTCAAAAATTGAAATTGGTTCTGCTCCGAGAAGCCCCGATTCGCAGAGATTCTTCTTCGTTCTTTGTGTGAGTGTGCCTCCCCACAAATCGTCTTCAAAGTTTCCCCATTTTGGTTTCTGGGTGTTTCTCCTTTCGTCACTTTTCGCCAATCTGGTCTCTTGCTCAGTGTTATTCTCCATCCCGATTTTCACGTCTTGTGATCTCTGCTCATGAGTGTTGATATGTAACAGTTTGTTTGATCGTTTGGATTCGTTCTTAGCTTTAGCTTGTTTTGATTTCCTCGTATCACTTCCTTTCGCTGCATTTTGATATCCGCTAATTGTTTCTTCTACTATCAGTAACGTTCTAGAGTGATGCGTTGTCTAGTCAAGTTTGACTCATTCCATGGGTTTTAAATGTGTAAATGTGAACTGTTCCCTGAAAACGTTCCGTACAATTCTGTTGTATTTCTCAATGCAACTTTTTGCTCTTTTTGCAGGCAGAAGTTTTCTGCTACTGTCCATGATGGGTCAAGACACCAATGGGATCGAGTTTCATCAGAAGAGACATGGTTTGTTGAAGGATCAAGTCCAATTGGTTAAGAGAAGGGACTCGGTTCGGTACGAAATAGTTCCAATTCAAGATCGGTTGTCATTTGAGAAGGGCTTCTTTGCTGTCATCCGTGCTTGCCAATTGCTTTCTCAGAAGAATGATGGGATAATATTGGTTGGTGTTGCTGGTCCTTCTGGTGCCGGAAAGACGGTTTTTACTGAGAAGATACTCAACTTTCTGCCTAGCGTTGCTGTCATATCAATGGACAACTATAATGACGCCAGTCGGATTGTTGATGGAAACTTTGATGGTAAAAATTTCATCTTTATGTTTCTTTGTGAAGGGTCTCAGGAGGAACCAAGTCTTCTTGTATCTATTGAGCTAATTGTTTTGACATATGACAGATCCACGGTTAACGGATTATGACACATTGCTCAAGAATCTTGAAGATTTAAAGGAAGGGAAGCAGGTTGAAGTTCCTATTTATGATTTTAAGTCCAGCTCTCGTGTTGGATACAGGTAATGGATCACAATTTCCATCTTCTGATATAAATCATCATTTTTTTGTGCTTCATCTAGACGGCCAATCAATTGGTGTCCATTGTTACAGAAGTTGGATATTTCATTCACATCGGTTTACCTCTGTGTTCCTCTTGGTTATTCCACTGACGACCTTGTTTTAATGCCATGTTTTAGGACCCTTGATGTCCCAGCTTCTAGGATTGTGATTATTGAAGGAATCTATGCTTTGAGTGAAAGATTGCGACCCTTATTGGATCTTCGTGTGTCTGTTACTGGTGGAGTTCACTTTGACCTTGTTAAACGGGTTCTTCGTGATATACAACGTGCAGGCCAACAGCCAGAGGAGATAATCCATCAGATTTCTGAAACAGTTCGGTCTCATATCTTTTATACCTTGCTTCTTGGCTGTTATTGGTTAAGTAAACTGTTTAAACTAATAATTTCACTGTTTATGTAGGTGTATCCGATGTACAAAGCTTTCATAGAGCCAGATCTCCAGACTGCTCAGATTAAAATCATTAATAAATTCAATCCCTTCACTGGTTTTCAGAGCCCAACATACATCTTGAAGGTTTGAAAATTGACCGGATATGTCTGTCCATGTTATAATAAGAAATGCTCTGTAATCTCAGTATTCAATTTCAGGTATCTATTGACTACGTTTGTTAAACTGAAGTTTTTTTTTTTTTGCTGTTGATTTGTTGTAGTCAAGAAAGGATGTATCCGTTGATCAGATCAAGGCGGTCCTTTCTGAAGGACATACAGAGACCAAGGAGGAGACCTATGATATCTATCTCCTTCCTCCGGGTGAAGATCCAGAGTCGTGCCAATCATATTTGAGGATGCGGAATAAAGATGGAAAGTACAGCCTCATGTTTGAGGTTTGGCCCTTCAGAGTTTTCTTTCCATGTTGTCATCAATATGATTCTGAAAAGCTGACAACCTGATTGCTTAAAATGATGTGGTGAATACTTATAGTTCTGATTTTGTTATCCAGGAATGGGTTACGGATACTCCTTTTGTCATATCCCCAAGGATTACTTTTGAAGTGAGTGTTCGCTTACTTGGTGGGCTTATGGCATTGGGATACACAATCGCAACCATACTTAAAAGGAACAGCCATGTATTTGCTACTGATAAGGTGTTTGTGAAGATAGATTGGCTTGAGCAACTGAATCGTCACTACATGCAGGTTTGTCTATCTAAACTCATTCACCACAATTTATCTTGAAAATTGGTAGCACATCTTGGCATAGTAACTGTAGATGAAATTTATATATCTGTCTTATGGATTGTATGATGGCATTCTAGTTCCCACTGAGAGTAAATTTTGTTTATTCAGAAACGATATGACTATGGAATTCTAAATATGTAATAATCAGGTGCAAGGTAAAGATCGGCAACTTGTACAGAGTACTGCAGAGCAGCTAGGATTGGAAGGATCGTTCATTCCACGAACCTATATTGAACAGATCCAACTGGAAAAACTGATAAATGAAGTAATGGTATGATTTTCTGTTCAGGCTCGTGGTGTTTTGTTTTTTGTTACATCTCATTTGGGTTCCTGATTAAAAGTTTCATTACAGGCGCTACCAGAAGATTTGAAGAACAAGCTTAGCTTAGATGAGGATTTGGTGTCCAGTTCAAGCCCAAAGGAAGCACTCTTACGAGCGTCCGCAGATAGAGTAGCCATGAGAAACAAGAACCTCAAAAGGTACACCTCTTTTGAGGAGTGTATGAGAAAGCTTTGTTAATTCCAATCCATGTGTCCTTAAGTAAGTTACGCCATTGTGATACACAGAGGCATGTCACACTCGTATTCAACACAAAGAGATAAGAATTTGTCCAAGCTTGCTGATTATTCTTCAAGCGATAGGAGGTACGAAGAAAGAAATCATGACTCACCAGCAAACGAGGTTCATTTTTGTTCTCTTCCATATCTTCTTGGCAACTTTAAAGTCGTCGTTTTAACTTAACAGTGCACTTCTTCTGGTTTATGATCTATTTTCTTAGGGGTTTATGACTCAGCTTTCGGAACAAATATCGTCTCTCAATGAGAGAATGGATGAGTTCACAAGCCGGATCGAAGAGCTAAATTCAAAGTTGAGCTGCAACAAAAACTCTCCAACACAGCAGAGCATGACACTCCAAGCTGAAGTCTGCAATGGGTCAGCTCCTACTTCGTATTTCATTTCTGGTCTGGACAATGGCTGTTTGACGAATTCCATAATGCCCCATTCATCATCATCCTCCCAATTAGCCAAGGATTCGCCATTAATGGAAGAGGTAAGTCACCTCACATTTTTCTCGTTTATGAATTTGGATTTTATTACGTTGCTTTGAAACGCTGTGTTACTTAACTGTTCTGGTGCGACCAGATATCGACCATTTCACGTGGACAGCGTCAAGTGATGCATCAGTTGGATAATTTGTGCAATCTGATGAGAGAAAGCTCAGCAGAAAGGACACGCCTAGCAAGAGCAGGGAGCAGCAATAGCAGCAGCAGAGGCAGATCAAGCAAAAGCTTCTTTTTGTCCAATGCGGAATCTAAGAGCATCCCTCTCGTGTTAACCTTGGCTTTTTGCAGCATAGGCATTGTAGTGATCAAGAGCTACATTAACAAACGTCAATAACATCTCTAACCACTATGGATCTTCTTTTTTTTTTTTCTTTTTTTTCCTTTGGTATTTTCTCACCGGAGGCATTTTGTGAGCTTCCATGGATTCTCTACCTTGACGTTGATAGACATCCTCGATTAATTTTATTCAATAAAGTTCACTTTTTTAAGCATAGTAGCTGATCTTTAATAATCAAGATAACTTAGAAATCAAATACAAAAATTGACATGTATGTGAATGAACACAGCCAAACTTAGAAACCAAATACAGAAACCAACTTCACTGGCATGGATATGCAAACTATTACCACATATGTGGTTATTGAATGGCGAAGGGAGTATGATTTCTACTCTCGGTCAAGCATTGAACATAATCTTCGCATTACTGAATATTCTCGATAGCATTGAGTTTGTTGGCCACATTAATGAGACGGGATAAGAAAGATGAAATTTGCTATGAACGAATGAGAACTCTAATCGGTTTGTTCCAATTATACATAATTGTTATTGAAAACCATTTGAAGTACTATCCAAAATTGTTTTACCCTCCCAAAACAACTTAAATCGGGTTTCAAGAATTTTGAAAATAAATAACAACATCAAAAACCAACCAAACAAAAGAAACTTGTGGATCTTTTAAGATTTTAGAATGTTTCTAGAGTTTTATTTAATGTGCCATATGAGTTTGTTCTATGTCCTAAATTTGCACAAAAACCATAAAAATAAGTTTTTTTAATCGTCAAAGTCGAAGAATGATTATTCACCGTATTTTACTAGTATATCCAAATTCCAATGAAGGCCCAACCAAAATAAATGATTTCAATAGAAAAATAAAAATAAAAATAGCAACATTTCCAGTCCCACAAGAAAACTCTGAAAGCTTTTCTCTATATATAATAAGTTTTAATAATAAACAAGTTTATTAGTTTATTAGTTTCTCTATATCACAGTTTGGAGTGATTTTTTTCAATAAATCACCAATTTGGCTATTAAATCTGTGCGATTTGGCTACTAAATATGTGACTAACATCAGCATTTTAGAACAATATCCCTTGTAATTTAATTTCCACTTTGTTAAGTAAACAAAAATTATGGAAATATACTCAATTTTTTTTTAATTAGGAATGATTCTCCATAATACGTTGACACTGTAGTTTGAATCTCAAACCAGCAAATACACTATACTGTGGTACCAAGTCTTCAAAGTGAAAATTGCAATGACAAAGCAAATAAACAATATACAACACATGAACATTAAACAAGATAATGCCACCACTTATTTTACAAAGGAATGTTGAATGTTATTCGTTTCATCGTACAAGGTAATGAGTTGAGTCCATGTACCTATTTTAACCATTATATATGCATATAGATACCAATGTTTGGATTCTCCAACGGAGCTGCAAAAATATAGGTAATAGATTCTGATTACCACTGCCCGTCTGAAGAGCTGAACAGAGATCCGATTCCCATCAAATAGCTTTCTCTAACCAAGCTGGTAATCTCAATGAAGATTTCATTCCAAGTCTTGTGAGGAAGACCGAGTACAGGAGATGCAGCAACAACACAAAGAATCCACTGTTTAGCAATAGCTGTTGAAGAATCAAAGGAAAGCGTTTTCTCAGCTTCTTTTTATTTCCCGAGGTACATAGAGAGAAGAGTGATAAAGAGATTACGTACCACTGTCCCGAATATCATATAAATGAGGCTCATTGAAGGCATAATGTTCAGGCCCATGGCGGTGAAAACATAAGAGAGAGAAGCGTGGATGTTAATTGTGATCTGCAACAACAATGCAAAAAACAGTTTTTATTTTTGAAAGAGTTACTCTGGTAGAGAAGAGTTCAAGAGGTTTTTGAGAGAAAGAGGTTTTACCACAGCGAGAATATTTTCTCTTATTAAGAAGGATGATGTCAGAACGTAGCCTATGAGACCCAATGCTCGAACCTGCGTAGGAGGAAACATGACAATAGAAGTAAACAAGGAGTGATAGGGGAATGTTCACTGTTCTGTGTGTAATCTCAAGAAGCAGACATTTCACCATTGTGCACAAGAAAATCGAGAGACGCCAGCTTGCGCCCATCCTGAGAACAGAAGAACATTGCGAAAAATAAATAGCTGAGATTGTGTTAAGCTGAGTAATCTACTTCCAAACTTCAGTCATTCTTCAAGAGTAAAGACAGGAAATAGTAAGATGTCTATTAGTTAGTGTGGAGCATTTCGAAGTTTGTTGTTGTGCTCGAGAACTAGAAACCGTGCAAGAGAGACGAGTGTATGAATTCACATACCTCCACAATGATCCCATCGCAAGCCCCACAAGACCATGAGTAAGCTACAAGAGAAAGCCCCAGGCGTTAAGCAATGGTCATGCAATCTTCGTGAAAGGGGAATAATAAGGAACTAAGAATAAGTAGCAGCTTGAAAGAATCATAAGATGAAACTCTGCTTGGCAAACTAGTAAAGAAGGCTTACAAAATAAGTTAATGCTTTGACTGGACCTGATAATATGAACAACAGCATGACAGTAGCAACCTGAGAAACAAACAAACACCACAACACAACGACTTAAAGCACATGTCCAACGAAGTAGAAAAAAAAAAAAAAACTTCAATTCTTGAAATTCTATTCATTTTGAAAGAAGAATGTTCTTTACAAACCATTGTCTTCCGGCCACCTGCAATATTCCATCGTATCGAAGATATCACAATCGGCAGCGAGAAGAAACACCCGAAGTAGTTCTGCGTTCAAAGTGTAACTCAGACTCGACATAGAAGCAATAACTCAGACTCGATATCCTTACGAGAATGATAGAGACTAACATATGAACTAAAACCTCAGAGATAATAAGCTAACTTCATAACAAAAGGAGAAGAGCTCAAACATTATTAAGGCGCCAAATATGGAATTCCGGAGAATGTAAACTAAGAACATGTATTGAGTTTCTATACTTCAGCAAACATTAGCTTTCGTTTCTTCCCTAGGAAATCCCAGAATTCGACTGCATGTGAACCAGAAAAATCTAAGGCAAGGGGATTAGCTACAGCTACAAAGCTCAGTGAAGTTTCTCCACGTCAACTGAATAAAATTCGAAATGGGGAAAAAAAACCTCAATGGCGAGAGAATTGCTGAGAAAGTAAACGAGGCCGGTGACAGCAGCGAACATGGCGCACTCCACCAATCGCAGCGTTTTCTGGTAAACGACTTCATCTCCCTCCGCCGCTTCTTCTTTACTCCCATCCTCTTTGTTACCTGAGAACGAAGCTCTGGAGCTGGAGACACTCGAGAGAGCGAAGCAGCTTCGGCTGGAGGTAGAAACGAGAGAGATTCTGGGTCTTTGTAGAGAGAGTGACAACAGAGAAGAAGAAGAAGAAGCAGAGGACTGTGTAGGGGCAAAACGGTAAAATTGAGTAGTGGTGGACTGGTAATGAATCGTTTTGAGGAGATTCATGGAGGCGAAGAAGAAATCCGCCTCTCTCAGAGATATCTTCCCACGGCGAGCTTGTCTTCTCCGTCTATCTGGATTCTAGAGATGATAACTAAAAACTGTTCGATTGAAATTCTTTGGTTAAATCATACCAATTTAAACCGACGGTATGATCGGTTTGGTAAATATATTCCATCATTTCGATTTCGTCTCTGTTGCTTCTTCGTTCCTCTTCCACCCCTATAAAGGCTCCGACATCGAATTTTAGGAGAGGTGACTCCGTCCTGCTTTGTCTCCAACATTCTATATAGCAGAGCGAGCGGGAAATTGAAAATTGAGGGAAGCCAGAGGATTTCGAAATCCTCAGCTCTTGATCCCATCTGGGATTTTGCTCTTGCTCACTCGATTCCTCTCTAAAGTTCATACAGAATCGAACATGGTGGTCGATCAAGATCAGCAATGGCTGCTCAGCTGCTTGACTGCAAGTCTCGACCCTAACCAGAACGTTCGTTCCTTCGCTGAGGCTTCACTCACTCAGGCCTCTCTTCAACCAGGTCCGTCGCTTTATCATTTGGGTTACTTTCGGACACGTTGCTCCTTTGTGTTTCTCTTGATTTGATTCTGTAAAACTTGATTTCGGCTAGTTAGATTTTTTCCAGTTGAAACCACAGTTCCCCTCTGTTAAGCTATTGAAATGAATGTCTGTCGAAAGCATTTGTTGGGTTTCTTATTGAGAACGATGAACAAGGGAACATATCCTCGTCTTGTTATGGTAGATGAAGGTCACTATACTTTCTAGATTTTTGTTCTTGTAGGATTTGGTAGCGCATTGTGCAGGGTTGCTGCAAACAAAGACCTCTCATTGGGATTGCGCCAAATATCCTTTTTTTCATAGCATAGATTTGTTTTCCCCTAAACAATCCGGCAGTCTCTCTGGATTTCATTTTTGTTTTTATTGTGGAGTACTTGACCTACTGTTACCTAGCTGCCGTCCTGTTAAAGCAGTTCATTAAGAAACATTGGCGAGAGAACGAGGAGGCTTTTGAATATCCTGTTGTCTCAAGTGAGGAAAAGGTACTCTCGCTATCTATTCCTGTTTTATTGTTTGGATTTCCTGCTGCGATGGTTTGCATATGTTTATGAAATACTTTTGGTTATGTTATTAGGCTCTTATCCGAGGACTACTTTTGGGCTCACTTGATGACCCTCATAGAAAAATATGTACGGCCATTAGTATGGACATATCGTCAATTGCCACATATGATTGGCCAGAAGAGTGGCCTGAGTTATTACCCTTTCTCTTGAAGTTGGTTAGTGATCAAAACAACAGTAATGGAGGTATATTTGCGTTCAGTTTTGCTGCCTCTGGAGATATATTTTTTTTACCTCTTATTTCCGTTCTCTTTCATGAGAATAGTCAAGCGGTTTCCTTAGGCTGAATTTATCGCGAAATTCAACAGTTCATGGAGCTTTGAGGTGTTTGGCTCTTGTCTCTGGTGACTTGGATGACAAAGAAGTGCCTACGCTGGTACCTGTGTTGTTTCCTTGCTTGCATGCAATCGTATCCTCTCCTCAGGTTTGTATCCTAATATTGAATAGATCAGACTTGTGTTGAATCACGTTTTTCGCTTCAATAAATGAAAATTTTAGTGATGAAGGCTCTCATGAAAGCTCACTCCTTTGTATAACTTTTCATTTGTATATGTAGAGCTACGACAAGTATATGCGAGGAAAAGCCCTTTCAATTTATTATTCATGTATATCTGTTCTTGGAGCAATGAGTGGTGTGTACAAGGTATTTTCTTTTATAAAAAATTCTCATTCTATACAAAAATTTTAAAATATGTTTTGATTCAGCTACTTCTGTTTTCAGTTGACATATATTAAGTGTTTATATTCAGACAGAAATTACTACTTTGGTGACTCCCGTACTTAAGGTTTGGATGAATCAGTTTTCACTTATATTGGAACATCCTGTGCAACGTGAGGATCCTGATGATTGGAGTTTAAGAATGGAGGTTCGTCTTATCGTGTGATTATTGTACTTTTGTTCCATCAAATGGCCGGAATTGTATAACAGGCCCGGTGTTTGTGCTGATTTTGTCTTTTCTCATTAGGTCTTGAAGTGTTTGAATCAGTTTGTACAGAATTTCCCATTTCTCATCGAAAGTGAATTGATGTGTATGTCTCGTTTTACCCATGTCTCTTCTTTATTCATACATATGCATCTGAAGCATCGTTATTGAAACAAAATATTCTTGCAGCCATTATGAGGCCATTGTGGCACACATTTGAGTCATCTCTACAAGTCTATCTTCGATCGTCAATTCAAGGTGCTGAAGATTCATACGATGGAAGATATGATTCAGATGGTGAAGAAAAGAGTCTTGACACTTTTGTCATCCAGGTAACTTACCATCTTCACTGATCAAGGTCTGTTTTTCTTCAAGGTCTCAATTTCTAAATTAAATCTTTTGTTTAGGGCTGGGGCATTTTGCTCATATATTGTTGTATTTAAATGAGTTTGCGGGCTAATTTTTGTATGTTTTTGCTTATGGTGTATCCTTTATGCAGCTATTTGAGTTTCTATCAACCATCGTTAGCAGTAGAAGACTAGCAAAGGTTTGGCCGAAACCTTTTCAGTGTTTTCCTTCATTTTTTCCGTATTTCGTTTTGGTTTCTTACCCAATTGTTATATCAGGTCATTGCCAGTAATGTCAGAGAATTGGTATATCAAACCGTCGCTTTCCTGCAGGTTACAGAACAACAGGTAAGGATGAATCATGCATCTTCTGCCTACTCATACATGATAGGATATAGTGGTTATATTTGATATTTAGAATCTGTGATTATAACATTAATCTATCTCGGGGTAACTTTACGAATTTAGACAGCCTATATATGACTGAGCAATTGTTTTGTCGTGCTGTAGCCTCTTCTCCTTTGCCTAACGTATATATCTTTTGCTATCTCTACGAATAAAGATAACCAGAAGGGTTATACGTTTTGCCATAGCTCTAGAATTTCTGTAACATTTTGTGTATATCCCTTAGTTCCTTAGGAGCCATATCTGTTTCAATGCATATATGCACTTCATATTTTACTGTATCTTACTTTACCAAGTCCCAAACTGGTTGAACCTTTTCAGTCTATTGTTATTATTTGTATCACGGACTGTTGGGGCAGTACAACTATTACTGTGCCTACGTTTGCCATGTGGTGATTTTATCTTGTTGTTTAAAAACCGCAAATTAGCTGCTAAAATCGTCAAAATACTTTATTATAGAATCCTGAGCTAGCTCAGATACTAGATGTAAGATGATGTTGTTTATTTAGTTGTGTTATCCCTTTCCATTATATTAGGTCGCACAAGAATGTACAGATTTTTTGTTGTTATTTGTGCTAGCTTCCTATTTGTTTGCTAGCAACAGTTTAATTAGTTTGCGCTTTATATATCTAACATTGCAGAAAAGACATGTCTTTATTCTTTATCTCACATGTAGCTTCTCCCCAGATTCATACGTGGTCCATGGATGTAAACCAGTTTGTAGCCGATGAAGATGAAGGTAGCTACAGTTGTCGTATGTCAGGTAAGCTGTCTCTCACTCCTCTTAAGTCAAATTCATATGCTTATGTTTAGTCAAAGACAAGATGTGGAGGTCATATGCATATCTGTATGCGAAATTATGACTGTGTAACTATAATTACCTGCTGCACCACAGGTATACTTTTGTTGGAGGAAGTTGTCAATACTTTTGGTAGGGAAGGGATCAATGCCGTTGTAGATGCTGCTGGAAAACGATTCCAAGAGTCTCAAGATGAAAAGACAGCTGGTTCTCCGGCCTGGTGGAGAGTGAGTGCACTTAATTCTCTTTGTTCTTGTATATCTTGAAAGGTTTAACAAGCCAATATTTCTCTGATGTTTAAACATAAAATTCTGTGAATATATATATATATATATTATTTATCTTTTTCTCCCCGTTCATGTTTTTTTTTACTATCCACCTTACTTTGATATTGTCCATTTGTTAGATAAGAGAAGCTGCTCTCTTTGCTCTGGCTTCTCTTGCCGATGAACTTGTTGAATCCGAGGTTCGTGTTTTCCATGATAATTTAAAAACAAAAAAGTTACTTATGCTGGGAAACATGTTATCCTTAATATTATACTCTTTCAGGACTTGAGGACTGACCCTGCCAATTTAGCTAAATTTATTGAGCAATTGATAATGGAAGATACTGGAATTGGTAGGTATTGTAAGATCGGCTACTCAAAAGTATTTTTCTTATTTAGTATTCAAATCGTGGTACATGACTGGATCGTCTGTTTAACAGGGTATCATGAATGTCCTTTCCTTTATGCCCGCATATTTACAGCAGTTGCTAAGTTCTCCACTGTGGTAATTTCGGGTTTTCTTTTCTCCCTATATAACTTTAGTGTATGAATTGAATCCTTTTCACGTTAATCAGATCAACCCCGGAATTCTTGAGCACTTACTCAATGCTGCTGTTAGAGCTATAAACATGGATGTGTATGTTCCCTACCCTTCTGCTGGTAGTATCTTTATCGTCAGAAATAAATGTTAACTTAATAGATACCTGTATAAGCAGGCCTCCAACTGTAAAAGTAGGCGCATGTCGGGCACTTTTGCAACTCCTACCCGATATGAAACGTTCAGTTATTCTACCTCAAATCATGAATTTATTTTCATCTCTCACTGACCTCCTCCATCAGGTAAATATTTCTACTGATGAACTATTAGAATAGTGCGTGAGTCTATTTTTCTTTTTTCTCACTAGAGGTTTTGATTCTTTTGTTTAGGCTTCAGATGAAACTTTGATTTTGGTTCTTGAAACTCTTCAACAAGCAATCAAGGCTGGTAAGTAGACATAATTTCTCCCTGTCAATAACGTTTGGAATCTGATCACGTAATAGTTCTCACCTAATACTTACATTTATTAATTTCTAGGCCATGAAGCATCATCTTCAATAGAGTCTATTATCTCTCCAGTGATCCTTAACGTGTGGGTGGCACATGTTTCAGATCCCTTTTTGAGTATCGATGTTATTGACGTCCTGGAGGTACATAGTTAGAAATGCAGTTTGCATAGTCTGTTCATGTTAAATATCTTACCACTGCTTATATCATTTGAAAGTGAACAATAAAAAATACCATCTCTGCAACTAATGTCTTGCCTATGGCTCTCACGCAGGCAATAAAGAATTCGCCTGGCTGCCTTCATCCACTGACATCAAGGATATTACCATTCATAGGACCAATTTTAAATAAGGTGCTGTTCAATCATGATTTTTTCTGTTTACTATTTTCTCTTCCCCAGTTTCCTTTTAAAAGTCATCTCTGTGGTGATAATCAGCCACATCAGCAGCCTGAAGGACTAGCAAGTGGATCCTTGGATCTGTTAACTATGCTTCTTAAGGCAAGTTATACTAGCTGGATTTTCATAGCACGTAAAATGATTATGTGTGCTAAATGGACAGTGTTTCTCGTGTTTTGCTGACTATTTTTCTAGTCATATATAGGGTGCCCCAGGTGATATAGTGAAAACTTCATATGACTTTTGCTTTGAAGCTGTCATTCGTATCATACTCCACAGTGAGGACCATAGTGAACTACAGGTGATAAAAAATTCCGCGTCTAGTTTGCTGCATCGTTATATATCTAGAAAAAATCACTTATCCGTAGCCTTTTAATTGGTCAGAATGCTACAGAATGTCTGGCAGCTTTTATATCTAGTGGAAGACAAGAGTTGCTTACTTGGAGTGGGGATCCCGGTCTTACCATGAGAAGTTTGCTTGATGCAGCTTCTAGGTACAATTCTTCACTTACCTTTTTGTTTGGTATATTTCACGTACACCAAAAGCTGAAGGCAGTGTTGCAGGCTTCTCAACCCTGATCTGGAATGTTCTGGATCTCTATTTGCTGGGAAGTATATACTGCAGCTTATCTTGCACCTTCCATCAGAGATGGCACCCCATGTCCAGGATCTGGTTGCTGCGCTTGTAAGACGGATGCAGTCTGCTGATATTTCGGGTTTCAGAAGCTCGTTGCTGCTGATTTTTGCTAGATTGGTATTCTTCACCTTTCAGTTGGATAGTTTTAGCAGATTAATGATTTCTCTCTTCTTTGTAAGATGCTGTAACCAGAAGCATCTTTTTCCATTAATGTTTGCAGGTCCATATGAGTTTTCCGAACGTGGATCAATTTATCAATCTGCTTGTTAGCGTACCTGCTGATGGACATGAAAATTCCTTTGCCTATGTTATGACAGAATGGACTAAACAACAAGGCAAGCATCTCTATTCGTGTTATCTAGTTGTATGATTCTATTGGTCTACCTGATGCATCACAATAAAGGTTTTTTTCTGGCCATTTCAACTGATGGGTTAAGCATCTCTATTCAGGGGAGATACAAGGGGCATATCAAATCAAAGTCACATCTTCAGCTCTGGCCTTGCTACTGTCCACTAAACATTCTGAATTCGCGAAGGTCAATGTCCCAGGCAATCCGATTCAGGTTTTATGCTGTACCTTTCTATATATTTTTCTTTAAAATTCAATTTACTATCACAGCCTAACAGAAACTTGATATAGTCCAATGGTGGCATAACCACGCGCTCAAAAGCTAGATCTGCTCCTGAACAATGGAGTATTATCCCTCTACCCATGAAGGTATGTTTTTGTTCCTTAGTCGAAATGTTCTCAAAGGACATGCTGCAAGTCAGAATTCAAATTCTTTGGGGATAGACAGTTCAGTCTTGACTCATTTTGATGCCCTTTACAGTTCTTAATCAGTTATCTCCTCATTTATTTTCTTGATTCTGGGTTATCCTATCAAAAAATTTACATTCTTTGGCTCTACAGATACTGGCTTTACTAGCTGATACATTGATTGAAATTCAAGAGCAAGTTGTGGGTTGTGAAGATGAGGTGATTATGCTTCCTTGAGCTTTGTTTATCTTACAAAATTCCTTACCGCCTTTGAGTTAAGTGAAACTTGAGATGCTAATTCCTTTTTACGGAGTAGCAGGATAGCGAATGGGAAGAAGTCCATGAAGGAGACGTTGAAGCTGATAAAGACTTGCTACGTTCAACTGGTGCCTCTCAATCCAGCAAACCCACATATAACCAACTTGCAGCAATGGCTCGAACTTTTGAGGTCCTTTTTTTTCTGTTACCTCTATGGCTGTACCATTAAACCATATCTTATCGGTTTTAACCATTGATTCAACAGAACCAAGATGATGATGATGGTGATGATGACCTACATGTTACCGACCCCCTTAATGAGGTGACCACTTGTGTTTTTATATATGGTTTTTATGTGCACCTAATTCTGAAAACCTTGATCTGTTTCACTAAGTCGCTTTCTCTCTGCAACAAAACAGATTAACCTTGCAAGTTACCTGGCTGATTTTTTGTTGAAGTTTTCAAGTGGAGACCGGTCTTTGTTTGATAATCTTTGCCAGGTATGGTTTTTATCCTCTGTATAACTTAATAATATATTGAATTTGCTATGAACCACTTGGCTTATTTTCCAACATCCGTAGGGCTTAACACAGGCGCAAAGAAACGTGATCCAGACGGTACTGAACCGCTAGGTTTGGCGTCATGAACCACAAGTTATGTGTCTCGACTCTCGAGTGTTGTTTTTGTCAGTTGATTAATTCTTGGGGATGTGGTAGCATCCCTTTTGTAAGAGTGCCATTTTACACAAAATATTCATAGTGTGAAAATTATCTTTGGAATTTCTAAGAGAAAATTCTCGAGTTCCATGTTTGACTATACAATAAACTCTCAGAAATAACGTTAACTTGATTTTTAGGTTTTCAGGAGTCCACTCGGTCCAAACTTAGACGGTTACACCTTATGTATGTCAACAAAGAAAAATCTAAACAGTTTAGACTTTCGCTTTACCATTGGAATGCAAAACACACTTCTATAAATAAATAAAAAATACAGTACTAGAGTTTTGTTCATATGTTTTATAACTCCCTCAGTTTAGAGGTACCGTGTAAAATTGCATAGACTCTTAATTTCATTGACAACTTTCATTAATTATCTTACAAAACATCCACTTACGAAACACATAAATTGGCTAAATCCGTGTAAGTCATTGGGCCGGACTCTTGGTTACTGACGTCACAACGTAGACGGGTAAAAGAAACCCGACCCGACCCGAACCGACGCAGAACAATCAGCTTCTCGTCTCTACTCAAACGAAGAAGAAGCAACAAAGACTGAAACTTTTTCTTCACAGAATCCATCATCACTTATGGCGGTGATTACTCCAGCTACACGTATTGCGCCGCCGCTGAACCGGCCTTTTCTCCACCGATCGACACTCGCCTCGCTTCATTGCGTATCCAGGAAATTCCTCTTCCTCGGAAACCCAACTCCGAGTTCCACGATCGTCGCCGTCCGGTGCCAGAAACCTGTTTCCGACGGTGCTCACTCTATGGAATCTACGAATCATGCCTCTTCAGCCTCATCCGTTTCATCTACTATCGATTTCCTAACTTTATGCCATCGGCTCAAGGTATGTGTGGAATTCCGCATAGTTTTATGGAATGGTCAACATTTGTCAATAAGTGAACTCTTTTTTGGGTACATTCTTGTGTAGACAACAAAGAGAAATGGGTGGATCAATCAGGGGATAAATGGACCTGAATCAATTGCTGATCACATGTACCGTATGGCTCTAATGGCACTGATTACTGGTGATCTTGCAGGAGTTGACAGAGAAAGGTTAGTGATTGCCTCAAGTGTTTTGCGTTTTTGAGATGAGAGGGAAATGCTATACTGTAGATTGTTACAATGCATTCAGGAAATTCTGGTGTGCACACATATGATCTTTCTAAGTTTGTGATAAACGACATGTAGAGCTCAGTGAGTGCTGATATATGGTATAGGAAAGAACACCAGTGAACAATTGATTTTACAGTTAGATTTAACACTTGGGGTTTTCTAACTAGAGATAATATATTTCGTTGTGTTTATGGCTATAGCTTATTGGATCTTTCTCCATCTTCCTTATTTTTCTTGGCATCTTTAACAGGTGTATTAAAATGGCAATTGTGCATGACATCGCTGAAGGTAATAAATACACATTTGATCCTTGTAACCCAATATAAAATTCAGTTTATTTCCGTGTCTTTTCTATTCACTACGAGACCTGATCTCTCCTCCTGGTTAGTTAATTCCCTCAAGAGAAACACAGGGTGTTTTGGAGGATACAGAAACTTGACTAGTTTCAAATGCCTTAGTAGGGTAAGATATATAACAGGTGCACTTGGATTCGTTTGTGCAATTGTCATTTTCTGTGGAGAAGGAACTAAACATGTGTTAGAGCTGATTACATTTGGTTTCTTTCTCTCGATGTATTCTTGCTATTCTACAAAGCCCCACCTCTTTACTGGCTTCTGAACAGCTATTGTTGGGGATATTACCCCATCTGATGGTGTTCCTAAGGAAGAAAAGAGTAGGAGAGAAAAAGCGGCTTTAAAGGAGATGTGCGAAGTTCTGGGTGGAGGCCTGAGAGGTATATACGGATCTGTTCTTGTCATCTACTTATATTTTTGGTTTCCAAAACACGAATTTCTCAGTCAAATGTCAACAAGTGCAGCTGAGGAGATCACAGAACTCTGGCTAGAGTATGAGAACAATGCTTCTTTAGAGGCAAATCTTGTAAAAGACTTTGATAAGGTAATTATTTGTTTTGAGTTTGCAAACATCGATGGTTCCTTTCACCTGTTACAACTTTCACAACACATGGATTACACTGACTCTTGTCTTTATTGCGTCTCGTAGGTTGAGATGATTCTACAGGCACTAGAATATGAAGCAGGTGAGTCTCAACCTTTATCCTTCTAATCACTTGTGCTTGTTATCCCTCTTGCATCCCAAGGAATCTGAATCGACGTTTGAACATTGTGGCAGAACACGGGAAAGTCCTCGACGAGTTTTTCATATCAACAGCAGGTAGAGGATCCATATCATATGCTACTTCGCTTTAAAGTTATAGACGTAAAGTCAAAGCATCTGGTTTCATCAAAATACCTTTGCTCCGATTTCTAATGCAGGCAAGTTTCAAACCGAAATCGGAAAGAGCTGGGCCGCTGAGATCAACGCGAGGAGAAAAAGCCAACTGACAAACAGGCAGAGATAGTAATCCAGTTCCCTCAACTATCAACAGAAGAGTAACTCCTAAACTGAGCAGGCTCCTCTTGAATTTAACCAAAAAGGTACAAGCTTATGATGAAGTTTTCAATTTTTGTTGTGTAACAAACACTAAGTCCTCGTCTTTAACTTCCCTTTTGGTTGCTAGTTAAGTAATCTAGTCAGTAAATTCTGTTGAACATGAATCTGAATTTAGATAAGCTTGTTTCTGAGTATGTTGGATCAGAATTTCTTTATTAAAATCTTATTTTGAGGTTCTTAATGTAGTCGCAAACCCCAATTGATGAAACATGACATACTATTGTTGTAAGAAATAATGCACTTCTCGGGCCCCATTTAAACGCGTGCGCATGTCATTGTCACTGTTAATATGTAATGAAAGTTTAGAAGAGGAGTCAACCGCTACAGATTCTGGAAAGATCAGAATGTTGACATGTGTTAAGCACTGAAAACTCTCTCTGCTTCTTCTTCTTACAATGATTGCGAAGAAGGCTTTGCACTTCCCTTTTCACTCATAGACTAAATGTGTATGATGATACAACTAAAGTTATATGAAAGCATTTAGTAATATATTTTATTCGACCAACCGACACAATTTTCATCAGCAAGTTCCTCCATTAGCTCTGTTACCACGTTGCTCCAAAGAGCGACTTACAAATTGAAAAATTTTGAGTGGATTTTACCTTAAAGTCTTATGGTTTGATGACTATTTATATTTGCTAGGACTGTAGATTATGGAACTTATGCATTACATGTGGTGTGACAAGTTTAATTACGGAAAAAAAAAGTTGGTAACAGAAAAAGAATCAAAAACAACGAACGTAAAGTCAATACTGTATTAATAATTGGGTTCCACATTGCTAGTTGTTCTTCTTTATGTTTTTGTTTTTGGTTGTGTTTTTTTTTGGGATGTAACTGATTTGGACAATGGTCCCAAAGTTGCCAATGTCCCTTTCACAAATTTTGATATCCAACAACGAGTGAACCATTGTTTTCTGGATTTTTACATTTTTCAGCTCCGATCGTACAGATATTATGTACTAGATTAGATATACACTACGTGAATGATTTACCCATACCACAGATGATACTTTAATTTATTTCACTTGCGTTATCGTTTATCTTAAATTTGCTTACATTCTTTTCTTTTTATGTATTAAGTCTATGTAGTAAATCAGAATTTTATTATGAAACGATAGTATTTTTGCTGGTCAACGGTGGTCATATCGTAAGGTGTTGCTGGGAGTTCATTTTGGGTGCAAAATAAGTAAGAAATTAAAAATAAGATTGATGTTGACCGTTGACTTGACGTTGCAATAAAGCATTCTTTGAATCTTTGTGAGGCACAAAATAAATATTAAATTGATTTGTCGTTAACTTCCTTATGATTTTACTTATTTTCCCTTTCATATCGCTTTGTTTGATGCCCACAATATACTCGCTCGATTCATAATTCTTCGTTCTTTCTTTTTCTTCCACAGAAACTGCTTTGATATTTGAAAGCTTTAAGTAACCAAATTTTGTTTGCAATCTCAGTGAGGTGAAAAAAAACTCGTTTACAAGATAAACGAGAAGTAGATAGAGAGAGACAAGTTTACTTACTTGGCCATTAGCTAAGCTTTAATGGCTAACTCCATAGTTGGGTTTTGACTAGCAGAGCAATTTTCTCTTTCGTGAATTGTGGTGTTGAAAGGAAATCTCTTTTACAGATCTCAACTTGTTTTGCCTCTGCCATCAAATCAGGTAATCTCGGTTATCCGGAATTCAGAATTGGAAAGCATATTCGGTGATCTGGGTTTTGCTCGTTCCACGATCTGGGTCTCTAGGTTCTCTGCTCGAGTAGGTTTCAGTCTAAAGAATAGCAACAGTGTTGGTAAAGTTTGGTGCTTTTTGAGGTTACTGTCATCATCAACTCTCTGGGGATTTTCGGTGAAAAATGTTAGACTTTGGTCTTTTGATTTAGATGGCAACACCGGCACAGCCTCCTACGGTGGAGGTGTCACCGTCTCCACCAATTGAACCTTCGCCTCCCGGTGATAATGCCACTTCTCCAACGAGAGAACCCATTGATGGTAATTCACCGGAGATCCCAAACCCTCCACCTCAATCTTCTTCTTCTCCCCCTCCTCCGGCGACTCCTTTATCATCACCACCACCACAACCTTCTCCCACACCACCTCCACCGATCGGAGCTCCTCCTCCTATTCCTACTCCTACATTACCCGACCCACCACCACCTGTGAGCTCTCCCCCTCCTCCTCCAAAACTTGATCCCCCCGCCGTTTCACCACCTTCAAGACCATCAGTTCAGCCACCGGAAAGCTCTCCTCCACCACCTGCATTAGACCCACCAAAATATCCACCTCCACCACCTACATTAGACCCACCATTACATTCTTCACCTCCACATCCGCCATCATTTCCTCCTCCACGTCCTTCCCCTTCCCCACCAGCCTCAGAACTTCCTCCTTCTCGTTCACCTCCTCCTCCACGAGATACACTACGTCCTGCTCGTTCACCTCCTCCTCCGCGAGACCCAGTACGTCCTGCTCGTTCACCTCCTCCTCCACGAGATTCAGAAAGTCTTCCTCCTCCTCCACAAGTTTCAAAAAGTCCTGAAACACCTCCTCCTCCGGATTCTAAACGTCCTGAGAAACCTCCTCCTCCGGATTCTAAACGTCCTGCTCACTCACCTCCTCCTCCTCCACGGGATACAGAACTTAATGAGAAATCTCCTCCTCCCAAGCCAAATCCAGCTCCCTTACCTTCTAATTCTTCTTCATCGCCCTCACCACCCTTAGTTCCATCACCGCCTTCTCCTCCTAAAAAATCTCTACCTGGCTTAGATAATCCATCTCAAAACAACCCTCAACCTACTGTGAGAGATATTTCCAGCCATTCGGGTATTGGTACAGCGGCTGTCGTGGGAGTAAGTATAGGAGTGGTCCTTGTGCTGCTTACTCTTATTGGAGCTCTTGTTTGGTGCCTGAATAGACGAAAAAAGAAGCTTTCTGCCATTCGAGGTGGCTATGTTATGCCGTCTCCTTTGGATTCCTCCCCAAGATCAGGTACATTTTACACCTAACCGTAGTCTCTTCAGTTTCATTAGGAATGCTTCTTACATTTGGTTAAGCAAACATATGGCAGAAAGAACTCTCCTTGTATGTATTGATGGTTGAATTTTACCTTTTTAACTATGAGTTTACGGTTATTCAGAGATTAAGATACGTTGTGTTAGAGTTCACAATCATGGATATTGCTATGCATACTTGTTTATCAGTATTTCTGCATTTTCATCTCCATATCTCTGTTGTCCAGATTCAGGGCTTTTGAAGACACACTCGTCCGCGCCTCTAGTGGGAAACCGTTCTAGCAACCGAACATTTTTTTCACAATCAGAACCTGGTGGCTTTGGTCAGTCGAAGGAACTGTTCTCATACGAAGAACTTGACAAAGCAACAAATGGATTCTCGGATGAAAATCTGTTGGGCGAAGGCGGGTTTGGTCGTGTATATAAAGGGGTTTTACCAGATGGAAGAGTGGTCGCTGTGAAACAGTTAAAAATAGGTGGAGGACAAGGTGATCGAGAGTTCAAAGCCGAGGTTGAGACCATAAGCAGAGTACATCACCGCCATTTGCTTTCTCTTGTTGGATACTGCATTTCCGAGAGCCGGAGATTGCTCATTTATGATTATGTCCCTAACAATAACCTTTACTTCCACCTTCATGGTAAGCGAGATTTTAAGACACATATTCATAAAGAAAAACTATTGCTACTTATTATATATTTATATGCTTCCTGTGGTATTTAGCTGCGGGAACTCCGGGTCTGGACTGGCCAACGCGTGTCAAAATCGCTGCTGGTGCGGCTCGTGGACTAGCTTATCTCCATGAAGATTGTAAGCGACTCTTCCAAAATATCTGGAAAAAAATTCCAGAATCAAATATGCTCTGATGTTATTGTCATGGTTCGTAAGGGAATTATTTGAATGATCTTGATGGTAAATCTTGACAGGTCATCCTCGTATCATACACAGGGACATCAAATCATCCAACATTCTTTTAGAGAATAACTTTCACGCTCTGGTATACACATTCATCTGCTCTTCTGAATTTGCAAGGCTGCTGATAATTAAGATCATGAGTCTTTAATAGTAAATAATCTCGGATTCTGTAGGTTTCTGACTTTGGCCTTGCAAAGCTAGCTCTCGATTGTAACACACATATTACAACTCGGGTTATGGGAACATTCGGGTACGTGCTGGTCAAGGTCCCATACAACATTGCTCAGGAGTAGAACTTCTTTCTGTATATGTTGCAATTCCTACATCTAATAATAAGTTATTGGTACATTGTTTCAGCTACATGGCTCCTGAATATGCATCAAGCGGCAAATTAACCGAAAAATCAGATGTGTTCTCCTTCGGGGTTGTTCTACTTGAGTTAGTCACTGGACGTAAGCCCGTGGATACATCACAACCTCTGGGAGACGAGAGCCTTGTTGAATGGGTATAAGCATGAATATAAGCATTTGAACTTTTGAGAATGGAACTCTTTCTTCAAAACTCAGTGTTTGGCGTTGAATGTTTTCAGGCACGTCCTTTGCTTAGTCATGCCATAGAAACCGAAGAGTTTAAAGCATTAGCAGATCCCAAGCTTGGAGGAAACTATGTTGGCGCTGAAATGTTTAGAATGATTGAAGCAGCGGCAGCTTGTATTCGCCATTCAGCTGCAAAGAGACCTCGAATGAGTCAGGTTTTACAGACATTTTCTTCAAGAACTTGACTTTTATTTCTTCTTTCCAGATCAAGTTTAACGTTAACAAAGGTCGTAATTGAAAACTATGACAGATTGTGAGAGCTTTCGACAGTCTAGCTGAGGAAGACCTCACAAACGGGATGAGATTAGGCGAAAGCGAGATCATCAACTCAGCTGAGCAGTCTGCAGAAATCAGATTGTTTAGAAGAATGGCTTTTGGCAGCCAAAATTACAGTACAGATTTTTTCACTCATAATATTCACAACAGCAGGGACGAAAACGTGTAAATATTCAGAAACAAAACTCATAAAAGAGTTATTTTTTTTTTTTCCGGGAAAGAGATCTCACAGCAGAACCTTTCTTGATGACTCGTAAATGTTTCGACCTTCAAATTTTGGATGCCGTGTCCATGTCCTCTGGTTTGTCTTGTCCTAATCGATGGGAAGAACACAGAAAGATGAGAATAGGACACCGAATACAATATTATGTCGGGCGTAAAAGAAGTTTCATTTTTAGTAGATGAAGTCACCTCTGCATCTATTTTGCTTTTGTGATGTAACTACATGTCCTCTCAATGTTATGCTAATAATAAATCAACAAGCTTCTTTATGTCATCACCAAACTTCTCATTAGCGTGTGTCACATGGTCAATTGACTTAGATTTGCCAAATATAAAAGATGAAGAAAAGACGAATATAACCTATTACGAACCACCTTCATGTTTGGGAATAGTATCAGAGGGAACAAGGATTTAAACAGCTACAGTTCTTTTGACGTCCAAGATTCCTAAAAATGCCGGTAAATATGTCTCCAAACCCATGTGATATTATAATACACATCATTCTATATCACATTACATCCATAACCTTTGCAGTTTTTTTGTGCATTTGATGAGAGCAAATGGAAGAAGATTGTGGTGCATTTGCAGCAGACTGTGTTGTCCTGTCATGCTGCTGCCAATGCCTTGTGTTACAAGTCAGTGTCTTCGCCTTCTTCGAGGTCCCTCGTAAGCTTGCCCAGAAGATGAAGAAGTTTTTGAAGAGAAGATGTGGAAAAACCTTGCAACCAACAATGGAGGACGATGTCAAAGAGGAGCACTGTTATGGAAACGGGTTTGCCTTTGATGAAGGATCATCAAGATTAAATTGCATTGAAGATATTGAGGGGATGTTGCAGGAATTGTCGATGGACAAAGAGTTCGTGTTTGGAAGCTTCTGGCGCCACCAAGATTCTTCTGACATGATTGATCTCAAATAGCGATAAAACAGAGATTGGTGGTACTCATCTTCTTTGCTCAAAGCATTCATGTTGTGTGATAATTTCAAGAATCCAAATAAGAAGCGTGAGGAGTATCAAGTCTCTTTCTCCGAAGACAATAAGAAGAGAAATGTAACTAAGAAAAGGCTGTAATATTAGATCTTTCTTTGCTCTTATCGTAACTCATGTACAATCTTCCACTGTTTTCTAGTATAATCAGATGACTCGATACAAGTTCTTATTTTCTATCGGTCACGGCCGCAATAATCAGAATTTACACCTTTGTGCTAACACAAACCAGTTAAGTAGACCCTGTTCTCTATAGAGTCTTGTAACAATCTACCACTTTTTGCTCCAGTCTGATAAGTCACTAAAACCCAAACAAACTGAGCAAAACCTATCACTTGTCAAGGTTCTCGCTGATGAGATCTCATGACCGATCTTTTTATGGCGTCTATTCGAGCTGTGAAACCAACCAATGCAGGCCTTACTGATGTCTGTCTCACCATTTCTAACTCCCCAGGGTCATTGCACTGATCCTCGTATTTAAGCAGCTTGATGGTCCCATGGGACATTGGAAAAAACTGCATCTGAATAGCAGAGAAGATGAAGTAAGGCATCATTGTGGATAGCACCACAAAGAGAGTGGTGATCCAGTAAGAAGGTGCAGGCGCAAGAGCTTCAAGAAAGACCATATAGGCATTTGTAGATACACTTGGTGGAAGGGATCCGTACACCATCAGGAAAAGGTACCATACAACCACGGATCCCCAAACGACGAGATGTTGGATCACTGTGAAGTAACTGATCGTCAATACCATCTGCAAACTCACAACCCACACCACACATGTGTACATTGTTCCTCCTAGAATATCTCTCCCTGCGGTTTTCCCTTGGTGGTTGAAAGCTTGAGATTCAAGAGAGGTTTTGCAGAGGAAGAAAATGATTATTGCGCTGCAGAGGCCATAGAACATCCAGCTGAGTATCCGGCGCCAACTAAAGAGAAGATTTTGTACACCTTCTTGGTACAATAGGGGGAACTGTGATAGCAAAACAAAGCAAGACTTTAGGTTAAGAAACTCACTAGATCGATGAAAAGAATAAGCAGCTGTTTTGATTTGAATGATCAATCATATACCTTGAGACAATACCGTGCAGACATATCCTGGTCGAAGATGCCCAAACAAATTACAGGAAGAGACGAGAAGAGGACGCTGTAGAGAGATAGATACCAGTCATTGTAAGCAGGTGTCGCTGAGAATGATGTGTATGCCTCATATAAGAAGAGAGTGAAACCAAATGTGATGTTCTTGTAGAAGAAGTAGCAAATCTGCATATAAGAACAAACATATATTGAGAAAACTAGTTATCAGCTCAAAGGATACTGAGAAAAAAGGGCCAGTGTTAATCAAATGTCGCGGATTATACACTGTATACCATTTTTGAGATTCGCCTGTAACACCAGTGTCCATGGACGAGTAACAAGCGCTCCAGGTATCTGAACTGAGCGATGGAAATGTCGCTGGACATTACAGCCTGGAAAATTATTAGATAGTCAATGAAATTTATTACCAACGAAAGCTGGAAATGGTTGTTTGTAATTTTTGTAGAACCTGCATTCCTTCCACACCACTAATCCCAACTCCTATATCTGCTTCCTGTAGCATTCCAACATCATTTGCGCCATCACCAATAGCCAGTGTTGTCTGACCGCTTCCAGTTTTGACTAGTCTAGTCACCTGTGCAAGATGATTCTTGAGAAGGCCAGGCAGCGACTAAGTATCTGAAAATTTAGTGCAGGATAAAGCAATAACTGACCAGTGCTTTCTGTTTTGGTGATGAACGACAGCAAATCACTGAGGCACAACCAATGGCCAGCTCAAGGAAGATGTCTTTCATATCATCTTCCAATGCATAAGCAAGTGATTTCCCATCAATTATTAGAGCAAATGCATCATATTTTCCACCAGACATTTGGAGCTGAGCCTTTCCATTAGTTATCTGTCGCAGGACATTCTCCTTTAATGCCTGCAGGAAAATATCCACATGGATTCATTCAGTTACGTGATCAGTAGTAACATTATTCACTCTCCATCAAACCAGTGTACCAAAAGAAGTTACTACCTTTGCAATGACATTTTTTTCTCCGGATTTTTCCAACTGCTGGATTTCAGGGGTCTCCAAGTTGATTATGATCTGCTTCATGTCTCGTCTGAGCAAACTACAAGCGAAGCTGTCAAAGATGTACACACACAGAAGGGTTCAGAGAGTGATTAAGAATGTATGCAGAAGGGTCGAGAGTAAATATAGTCAGGTTGTACCCAATACCCAATATTGATAGCAGTCTCCATCTTGTCTCCAGTCAATACCCAAATCTTTATTCCTGCTTGAGCAAGCTTATCAATGCAATCAGCGACCTGGAAGAAAACAATAAGAGAGAATGAAAAAACGAATAACCAAATCTGTAAATTGGCCGTGTATAATAGCAGCGTACCCCATTTTGGAGTTTATCCTCAACAGCAGTAGCTCCAAGAAGAACCAAATCTTTCTCAATCATCTCTGTGACTTCATCTATCAAAGCATCTCGATCAGCACTAACCGAATTCTTAGCCTCACTGATTCTCTCAGTGAACACCTCGTACTCTTTCTCGTCGAGTTCACGATAGGCAAGTATCAAAGTCCTCAGTCCAGCATCAGCATACTCGTTCACATGGTCCCGAGTTTCCTCTTCATACTTTCTACCGTTTCCAGAAAGTCTATCAAACATGACACTGCACAGTAAAAGAAGTTGAAATTGAGTTCGACAAGAGATTTAAAATCTGAGTCTCTAAAGTCAGGATTCGGTTAGGTTGGATTCGCATACCTGTCTGCACCTTTGCAAAGTAAAAGGAGTTTGCCATCTCCATCCCGTACTATCACTGACATCCTTTTCCTTGAGCTATTGAATTCAAGAACGTTCAGGACTTTATACAGTCTGCAAAGCGAAACCATTTACTAGTAGTAAGCAACAGAAAGAAGCTTTTGACGGCATACAACTAAAAAGAGAATGTGGAGAGAAACCTTTCAACTCTTCCGCCAGTCTCCGTGTCCAGCTCTCTAACAGATATCGTTGTTTGAGTTCGAATAAAAAATTCAAAACCAAGCTCCCTTGCTGCAATAACAAATGCTGCCTCGTCCGGTGATTCAGCCTCGTAGGAGATCTTTCCTGTCTCTTCATGCACCTCAGGTATGACTGTATGACATACTGCCAATAAACGAAAGAATTTCTGAATGACATCAGCGTGCATTTCCTTGACCCAGTTTCCATTCATTATCCTTTCGTCTCTAAAATTGAATCCTTTCACTACAGAAACAGCATACTCGGTAATACTTCCATTGCTCTGATTCACCAAAGGAGAACCTTTTCTCCTACCCATAGCCATCTCCACCTCTGTAACAACACGGCCATAAGCTGTCCCAGCAATAGAACACTTGATGAACTCCATGGAGTTACACGTCAATGTCCCCGTCTTGTCTGAAAGAATTGTACCCACTTGCCCAAGTTCTTCATTCAGATTAGAAGTACGCGCGTGTGCTGGTTTGTCAGCTTCCTCGTAATACATATGGATATCCTGATTGATGAAGATGCTCTGAAGAACTTTAACAATCTCTATTGACACATACAAGGATATAGGGATGAAGTAACTGTTTAGCATTAGAGCCGATAGAAAGTGATAGATTGCAGCCATATGCGCCCTTTTTGGGTCGAAGAAGATCGTCGAATCATCCGGTTTCAAATACCATCTTTTCATGATGCCATTCTGGAAATCTTGTCTCGTTGAAATTCCAAACAAAACCGAACCAAAAAACGCCAATGAAACTACCATAAGGAACATTAGGTATATAACCTTATCCATCTTCCTCTCGATCATGCTTCTCTTTGACGGAGGTGCTGTTGAATTCTGGACAACCTTTGTATCAGGACCCGTGAAGATAACAACCCCATAGATATAGTCTGTGTTCCTGAGTTTTGAGCCCCTTAGAAGAAGCTGTTGTGGTGAGAGAGGGTACTTAGATCTCTTAAGCTCCATTGTACCGACAAACGAATACAAGTTAGCATTAGGATCCTCGCATTTGATAAAAGCTTCGAAATCCCTGAAGTCGAGCTCTTCACGCAATGACAAAGTTACTTCTAGTCCTTGTTTAAGTTTAAGGTTTGTTTCCCCGTCAAGGTTCATTGTCTCTACATAGCAAACAGCATCCTCGTAGCTAGAAGAAAGCAGGACAAGGTCTGCCGGGAAGAAGTCGTTTTTCTCTACCTTCAATATATCCCCAACTCTAAGTGTCTTCCATTCCTTAAGATCGAAATTCCCATTGCCTCGGTGCACTCTAACTTTTCTGTTATTCACCTCAATATCCTAAAAGCATGACAATTTCCACATAATGAGAAGTTTTTTCTATCTGCAAATGAAAGAGAGTGATCCAACCTAATGCAAAAGTAAGGCAGCTGCTTAAGGATATCTCAATTCCATGAGCAATGTAGCTTAATCCAACCTAAAACTAGATATTCAGAACAAGATAACAACAAAACATGTTTCAACGCAGAGCATCCTAGTAAGATTCTCTAACCAATCAAAGTACCTGCTGTTTCCTGCGCCAATCTTCAACGCCTTCTTTAACCATAGTAGCAAGAATGACGAAAGTCAGAGGAACAATGGCGCTCACAGCGGTATAAGGCGCGAGAGGAGTGAAAGACAAGATGCCGACGACAAGGAAGTAGAAATTGGCGACTCTCCTGAACTGCTCAAACAGTGATTTAGGGAGAAAAGTGGTGAGAGTGTACTTGGTGGTCCTCACGTAGTTGTCGCAGTAATTTCTTGAATCAACAGCTTCAGGGGAATCAGGTTGGTTGCAGTAAACCACACGAGAGAAACCAGTTCGTCCAATACGTGAATGGTCTGGCTTGAAACAAGCTTTAGCAGATGTAAGTGTGAAAATCTTGCTTAATTGCACCTTCCTTC